AACCGCGATTTTATGCTAATCGATCTCAAGATAACAGTTCATACGATTACAAATATAATCGGGCCCTCGCTTTATTATCAACCACTGTAGATTAAAACCGTTTCTTATGGAATCATATCAGTCTTTTTACCGGTAGTTTAAACGAAAAACGAGTGACAGCGTAGGTCCTTTTAGTAAATATAATGTAAAACCGTCCTGGTACATAGCTGCAAAAGATATACCATTTTGAATCAAAGATACTATCCTTTGCAGTAAAAAAAACGCAGTAAAAAAACGTACTGTTCTGAAAGTTTATGTAAATGTTTATATAAACCAGCTTACCTGTATCTGCTCATCCCATTGTGGTGTATTCGTCTTTTTCCGAACAGCAGTTTTTCTCGAAGTGACCGAATCAACAACCAGTTCAACATAAACATCTGGTGGTTTACTAAATAAGCCGCTGACACCATGTAGCTTTGCTGATATGACTGTAAAGCACGGAAAGATCAAACATTTAGGAAGGAAAAGGAAGAAATATAAGGGGTCCCAATCTGTGAGTTATGCCCATAACAGTTTTTTTATGTGCAACAATATAAGTAGTTTTTACAATTTTCTGTCTTATAGTTCACCATGCTAACCTTCGGGTCAGACCCAGAACGTAGGTAACACTTGGCAGTACGACCAATTCCCACTAAAAAAATACGATCTTCTTCTTGATATGGGAAAAAGTACAGTGTAGTTGAACTTACTGGATAAATTTAACGAGAAAAGCTTTACGCGCTCATCCGCAACCCCATTTTGCGAAGGCATTTTTATCTGCCTATTGACGACTGCACATATAACCAAAACATTCACAGCCTAAAACATTTTCGGAAAATTTCGGAATTCTCTACAAGAACGATAAACGACAGTGACAGCACTGCTTTTACATTAACAGATTCTAAAGTTACGATACTCACACACATTTAGTTTCGATGACATAGATGGCTTAAGGATAATGGAGAGCAAGAATGATCCTGGAAAAAAAGCAAAATATCAGCACTTTATTTTTCGCATCATATGACAAGAGCTAGGACAGTGGATTTCATTGAAATTACAAGACGGGAGGTTTTGACTGATAAATGATCGATTCATTGCAAACACAAAATATTTCCAACACTAAACTGTTGTCAAAAACAAAAAGAAAGAAAAGCAAACTAGTGAAAAGCTTTCTGAAACTCGACATTGTAAAAGTGAACCACCACTGTGGAAAGCACTGCGCCGATCACTGCAAATGTAACCTAAAACAGGTTGTTGAAACACTAGGGAAACAGAATGTACAGCTGTATTTGAATGTCGCGAAGTATATATATAATGCATACAAACGAAAAGTAACAACATAGAAAAAGAGTTCATGAGAGAGGGAAGGGGGCGGGGATGAGATGGGAAGGTAGAAGGCAGGGAAGAAAGGGCATACTAATGTGAGTCGAACACACTAAAACGAAAATGGTACAACGCCATCTGACGAATGGAGACGAAATATATGCTCGTGAAGCAAGTTACGCTTGGACCCGATGACAGAGCTAGATACGTCTAACTAACTGCAAAATAGGAATCCGTAGAGTTCGAAAAACATCGATGATTTCCTACTACGGCTAAAAGACTTATTAAAGAAATGGTAACGAAATGTGATGTCTAAAAGTCTGCAGAGGCAAGACATGTCCAAAACTCTAATCGTCATCGAGTAAAGACTGGATTAATTTTACGAATGGATATAGAATGACTTCAGTTGATTGCTTCTATCCTGAAATAGGAAGATGTCACTTTCCGATCAAAACAGAGTGCCCTATTTGATTGTCCTTGCAGTACAAATAATTACTATTATTATTAATAATGGTAATAATTATCATGAAAACAATATGATAATAATGACAGTGATAATGATGATGACAATGATAATAATACTGATAATAATAATAGCAGTAATAATGATAATAATGATAATAACGATAATAACGATAATAACGATAATAATGATAATAATGATAATAATGATAATAATGATAATAATGATAATAATAATAATAATAGTAATAATAATAATAATAATAATAATAATAATAATAATAATAATAATAATAATAATAATAATAATAATAATAATAATAATAATAATAATAATAATAATAATGTAATAATAAACTTGATTTCTTATAGGAATTTTATTTATACTCTACAATGTTGACAATAATGATAATGACACTCTTTACAATATTGACAATAAGATCCCCATAAGTAAAAAATAATAAAAATAATTTTTGAACAATGTGGTCCGCGAAAGCTATTAAAAACCGTGTTCCTTCTTTTATGTTATAATGTTTCTCCAAATTTATTAATGCGCTAAAAGTTTTGATTAAAGTAGATCTTCAAATTAATAAAATTTATTATTTCTGAACTTCGCGTTTCATGCTGAAATAAAAAATCAAATAAAAAGTGGTCTTTGATCAAGAACAGGTTGGGAGCCACTACTTTACAATTAGCTTGAAACCACAAACTTCTGTGCATAAAACTTGGCTACTATGAAGAATTGATTATAAAGATAAGAAGTACACGCCTCCAATATGTAATGGTCCCCACCGATCTCAACCGTCATGGCCAGCAACTCAGTCGACGGAAACATCACAGCAAATTCTTCATGCCTCCAACACTTTCACGGCCGTGAACTTGTGACGACACATGACAAAATGCTAACTTTCATTTCCCAAGCAATAAGTAATAGGTATATACTAACTGGGAATTAGTCGAGGAACAAAGATCCAAGTAACGTAAATAAATTTTTGCAAATACAGTGACAGGGACCGGATGACAGTGACCGTCCAGTACTGAACAAGTTGGGCAGAAGTGATAATGTTGGAAATGATGTGAGTAGCTGGAAAATAGCAGCTGGGTACCGCCATCGAATTGAAGGAATCACCGTTCAATATCTAAACTATATTTACTGATTCATATAAATTAATCACAGATGAGAACAATGAGAGCTAAGTCAAATATTCATATGTAACATTCATGACTTGACCATAATATTTTTTTATAGCTATCACAAGTTCGCTTATCTGAAATTAAAATATTTACACTAAATCTTTACTTCACTATCTGAATACCTTGCATAACCATTTCTTTATAGCTTGTAAGGAAATGTGTAAGTGAGCAGTTGTTTCTGCTAGATGCTTGATCAGAATATTTTCTCATGCTTGTTAACTCTATGTGAAAAATGGGCTTGGCCCGTAAAGATGTATCAATAGGTTCCCCTTCTTCTTTATCTCATTTCCTCTGAAACGAATTTAAGTTTCATTGGTTTTGTTGATGTAACTACTAGGCAAAAATACATGAATGAATGGGTCATGAAAAGCCGGCAAAAGTAAATGGATGTTCTCGATAAGAAAGGAGTCCGTCGCGCTACGCTCAGATATTTTTGAATCGATTTTAAACGCGTTGAATGACAAGTACATGTTGCAATGAACGTCGAGACAAAAATGAAAACGAAGAATGTTCGACCGTGGAAAGGAGAACAAACAAGGAGAATGAGGTAACAGCAACGCCAATCACCATATCGAACAATTCATTCATCTACCGTCACCATTTGTTAGTTCACAAAATATAAATATATCACGTGAAACTTATCATCTTCCCTGTATCCGAATGCGAGACAGAAGCGTGATGAAGTGGAAGTGATGTACTACATTTTTCATTTATCGACTGTAATATAAATGAAATTGTCGAAGAATAAAAGATCGATAGAATGCTACATAATGTGGTGACATAGAGGCGAAGTGGCGGTGATAGCAGTGCTGGTGCAGATATCACCACAGTAATGTTACCAGAGTGCTTATTGAAAAAAAAAAATGTCGTTTTCGAGAATACTGGAGTGATGGGTAGGTAAAATTGAATCAAGCTGAACCACGGTTTAGCAAATGGTCACTGTTAAGGAGGGAAACGGAGTCAGTCTTCGGTAGTTTTCTCAAAAAGGAAACTATTGAAGACTGTAACTTAACTTCAGTAACAGTGACCTTTCTGATTCCAAACACTTCTATGCTGTGGTGGCAGTAGCAGTACGATATACTTATTAGTAATACAACTTGAAGATATGACTTGCGGGAGATAGTGCAATGAAAAACGCACTTGAAAGAGGCAGATTAGCATCCAGAAGACAGCAAAATAAGTCAAGTTCTGGAATGATCTGGGCTTCAAATGATCATTATATACATTCACAGAATCAATGGCTATTTCGAAGTGGTAGCACTTTCGCCTAGTTTTTGAATTAACATATTTCTCTTTGAAGCTGAGATTATCTATTCATACATAAATCGATAGTCTACAGGTCCATTGCATTCGTCTATAACGCTCAATTTCTGACCAGTTAAACAAAGCATCATAACCTTCAACCTTTATATATCGAATATTACAGTTCGATTTGTTACTCTAAAAATATAGGGATAAATCTCTTTGCACTATACAACCAGTAAAAAGACACCCAAAAGTACTCGAATCTGCTTTGAGTCCTGTTCTTGTACCAGGAACAAAAATCGCCACAACATCAAAGACTACACAAAGTGATAAATTTAGCAGAAAAGAGATACAATGATGTATGCTAAAAAGGAAATGTACAGAAGAAGTACAGCAGCAATCCATACACCGCAGTGTAAATATGGAAAGGGTGGCATAATGGTGGTCGCGTTGATTTTCTGTACTGTTCAAATGGATGGATCTTCCCATTTTTCTTCCACTCACAGAAGGACTATACCGCATGTCATCACAATGAATCATCGCTTTACTACCAAATGAATCACTTTTAGGGTGACGAATGCAGTGGGATTACTTGGTGATATAGTACATAAACGTTCACTGAACAATCTTCCCGTAATTGAAATGCTGTTATAATCGGACAGAATAATCAGATCACCTTTATGCTTATTGTGTGGTCATTACAGAGTTATCAACTACTGTTGAAGTTTTGTTAAATGGGAAACAATTTGCGTCGTACAAATACCAATGTTACTTAAGTACTCGGTTGTATCTAGAAAGCAAAGCAAATAACAGAATTCTCTTTCAGCCTAAAAATTATGAGACTGCATCTCATAGCTCGCTTAACATCTCTTTACGTTAAATGAACGATAATTCGAACGTGTTTCTTGAATTCATGAGAATCAGTATTATTCTTCCTAAAAATTTGAAGTGCTAAAAGAGATTTCAAACATCTTAGCAACTCGAAATCCCATTCAAACTATGCAGCATGCAATTCTAAAATCTAATCGAACGAAAAAATACAATAAACCGAAAATTCCACCGATGTCTGTATATAATTTAAAAGGGTGGGGTACTGACAACAATCACATTAGCAGCCCAGTTAAACATTCATTCCAATCAAATGCTAGGAAAGGTATGGGTTCAATGCTATTAATGGCTCCCGTCTGTTATCAAAAATCATTTCATACAAACCCAAATTCCATGGCATTTTAGTCAAGTTGATTTCTCTTTCCACAACTAAAAAGTGGAAGAGTTTCAACTAGTAAGGTAATATCAATACCCCATACTCCAACACAATTTTATGACATTTGTCACAGATCTAAAATGTGAAGAGAAAAACTGGGAATCATTTCGAACTTGACAACTCCTAATACATCCCACCCTTTCTATAAACAGTACGAGAAAACGCTGCTAAGCTTTGATATAAATTGGCATTGCTCATAAACAGATAGCAGAATGTAAAATAAATACATCAATTCGTCAATTGATTCTCGAAAACATTTACAACAAATCCTGTTCCGACCTTCGCCCTGCTAAAAGCAAAAAGAAAGCCTTGCAAAAAGCAAAGCTTATGAAAATTTATATGCGACTGTTCTCATGTCTCGACTATATCATTCTGGAAGATAACCTGTAACCGGTTGCAAATATTAATTTCTTGATGAATAATCAATTGCACACAACGACCTCGAGAAGTTTGTAGAATTTTTTTTTAAGTTTCAAAGTTTTTAAAGCAGTCACAGCATCATTTGAAATGTCAAACGACACCTACTCAGATTATAAGCTGGAAATAACCAAAATAAGCAAAAATTTAGGAAGCAATTGGCTTGTAAACTATTAAATAGAACAAATAAGTCTTAAGAGGACATGGATGCAGCTGTTTTGAACGATTGGATCACTGCATCTAAGTGGTAAGTATATTAAAATTGAGGGTTCTTCCAAGTCATACTGAACAAGCAGAGGAAACAGTAAATGAACGAGTGAATGAAAATTTGAACTTTTTACAAAAAACAGATTAGTTGCAATAATCATCACAGGTTGGCAACTTTCAGAACAAATTGTGGAAAAAAGGGAACAAAGTTAAAAGCAGATGAAGCATTCGTGAACAAAACAATCACAAATTTGACATAAAACATTTCAAAATTCAAATTTTAATTCGAATGGAGGTTCAGTAACTCTGCATACTCCTTCATTTGCAATTTGACAAACAATGGCAATTTAAGATAACCACAACGTATAGACAGGGTTTTGAAATGCTTCTACCAGTGGCAATATTTCAGGTATTGTCACCACTGGATTTTTAATCAAGAGAATTTCATACTGACCACCTATCTTTATAAATTTGCTATTCATTCGGTTTCATAAATCACAGTGTGTCCTGGTCTGATTTTGAACTAGAAATTTGTTCCTCTCTATCGTTAGTAAATTTAATATCTGGAGAGAGCACCTTCAAGTGCAGGATTACATTGGGCAAGCTTATGCTGTCAAAGATGACAATGTAGTAAGACTCAAAGTGATAGGCATATTATGCATATCCTTCCAATTTTCGACAGATATTATCGCAAAACAAAAGATCCAACGAATGTACGGAATGAAGATCATCAAGAAGAACCACCATTCATGTAAAGAACAGGCTGTCAAGTACGAAGGATGTTTTGCTTATAATGAAAGTGGTTATCCTCTAAAAAACTGGCAATGGTCAAGTATCCACCACTGAGTTTCTCACTCTCTCAAAAATGTCATCAGAAAGAACATGGAATCAAACAAATCGCTAAAAATTTATCGGAAAATGATAAACAAATAAACAAAAATAGCTATCGGATTAAAATTGTAATGTCTTCGATGCACCATCATCGCGATAACACAGACTATGAAGTATGAGTGGATAGGAGCAGCTTCTGCAGCGAATGCATGATAAAAAGCCTTCAAGATGAAAATGTAAGTAGAACGGTTCTTTAACTAGCACCAACTTCAATTTCATAAGCTAGCAATAATTTGTTGTATATTTCCTGAAAATAGCATCAGCGAAGTGACTGAACAAAACAGTTGTGCAGAATTTAATTAATTTGGTCGATTTTATTTCTAATGCGAATTGGACAAAATTTGTAAAATTTAAAGTAGAAACATAAAAAAGAAAACTAAAACCGAACTGCTACTGCAGCAAGTAAGATACGACAGGACTGTCATGATTAACAGAGCAGAGATCAGACAACAAGCGTATTCCAAGGCATCACTGTCCTGCATATTCTGTTCTCTTACCGAGACAGTTCAACGATACGAACTGGCTTATTTAACTAATCTTTTTCTGATCCCTAATAAACGCTCACGAACAAAAGTGCCATATGTATTTAATGGAAATTTCAATTGAAAAACGAATAAATACTAACAGTTGCAGATGTCTGCTCTATTAGTTCGACCACTCTTCCACCTAAAGTGCTCAATCTGAGAAAACCTTTCTGCTTCTTTCGTAAATCAATCAGGATCGTTTTACCCGAAAGCGTTGGTCTATTCATTTCCGTGTATAAAACTTGCCATTCAATATTCCAGGAACCAACCATATCACTTTTTCTTACATTCATCGCACGCCTGCAATCATTTGTTTATAATGCACGTAAAAACCGACCACAACTGTCTAAATAGTTGTTCAATATCATACTACTCTTTTGCTGAACGCTTTGTTAGTAATTGAGTCCAAAAAAAATATCTATCCTGATGAAATATGCATCATTCAACATTCCAAGAATTGTAGCGCAGCATTTCAAATTCCATTAATTTGTGGAAACATACTTCTTGAAAATGGTAATTATATCGTTGATGAACTCAGCTAATCAAATAGTTTGAAATCCCAACCTATCTGTAATAATAAATAGGCTCCTCTCAGAAATTGGTGCATGTGCCAAGAAATAATCGGTGTCAGCTACGGAACCATTATCAGCTTCCTGAATATTCAAAATATATATATTACGACGATATAAAGAGTCTATAGTACTTTTCTACGACAAAATTATTCGATAAAAAGCATAATGTTGCCCAATGACTCACTGCTTCTCTACTAAATACTGTCAATTGAAAACAAAGTGTCACCGCTACATATTTACAATACTTTATAGCTGTCGACCGTTCTTTTATCCAATGAGTCCAGCCTCATAAATAGCACGGTGTGAACAACAGACATGAGGACTTATTCATGTTATGCATGCTACATGGAAGTATGGTTAAGCTGACACATAAAGTTTTCATAGTTGCTATAGCATAACTTTACAACAATACTTAATAGGAAGATCTAAACACTATCCGCACGGAGAAGTAATTCTGAACATAACGACCATAGGTATTTAATGATATTGCTGGATAAATGGAGTTCAGAACAAAAAAACATCGTAAACTTACACGGAATATTTGCGCTCCTACAGCCATCTTCTGGCTGTATGGTCGTACAATATTGTCGGAAAATATGACCCGTGGTGGACGCAATGACTTCGTTTCATCAGTTCCAACCGTTGCACTCAAATTATTTCGAAATATGAACCACATTTATTTACGATCTACTTTAGCTGTCTGTCCTTGAACTCACTGGTCAAAAAACGTACCTAACGAGAAAAACATTAAAAAAAAATACTACAGATGCACCAGAAGAATGTTTAGTAATTAGATCATAAGTAATTTTTTAAATCATGATCCAATGATATGTAGTGATGATAAATTTACACTAGAAATGGGTAGCACACCAATACAATATGCAACGGAATAATTCATTTAAAAGACTGCATTTAAAAACAATTTTACGAAAAAAACTAACGATCTCACAGCATCTAAAGTACTGCTAGCAAAATCAACAGCTCCAGATAGAGGACGTGTAACTATGCCAACCAAACCGAGACTAAGTCCTTTCGCAAAACCACCAGCTCCTCCAGTACGAGCGCCTAAAAATAATTCTAAAAAAAAACTACTTTGTCAATTGGAGATGCCAAACAACGTAACTTTTGATTTGTTTGAGACTTTTAATATAACTAGACTTTTAGGAATGAGCTTCACTTTAACAAAAACAAACATTAACAAGGAAAGGAAACTACTCATTTCACTAAAATTGCTATAAACATTCTATAAGCACAAATGGAAAACACCTGCAAGTGGTTTGCAAACAACACCAGAAATGCCATCATAAAAACCTTGCCCAACACCTTTAGCACCGCGAGCCACACCCTCACTAAATGTCTTCGGACGACGATTCATTATTTGCTGCCGTTTACGCTGGTATTCTTCATCAAGAGTTAATGCAGCTACACCCTAAAACTCATTTTTATGTTCAAGAATGCAGCAAGAGCATTCTGTAACAGTCATTTTGTTTCGAAATTCGCTTTTCTTGTAATTATATACCGTAATTTCGCAGATAAAGATCTAATTGCAGGAACTTTTTTGTTTCACAATTTTTAATATTTTATAAGGACAGCGTTTTCAGAATCTGAAGTCATAAGCTTAAGGTCTTCTATTTGTTTAAATATTCGATGTTTTCGTATTGCCAATCCATCCGAAAACATGCCAAAATTTTATTGAAAACAGAAAGGAAATGAAAACACACCTTCCCTAGAGTACCAGCAATTCTCGAAACTGCTCCAGCCCCACCGCCAACTGTTGCACCAACAAGGCCTTTAACACCCAAAGCGACTCCCTCAGCAAACTCTTCTGGTCCTTGAACAGCTCCCTAAAACGTTTCTTTCCGCATATAAAATAAAAAGAATGATTGCTCCTTTTTCTTACAATTAACACAAATGATAATAAATCCTCAACTCTTTTATAAATCTTAAAATGAGAAGGTCATATTAATTTTTTTTTTCTGATTTTTTGAAATGAATTCTCTTAGTCACCAGTGTAGAACCCCTACTTTCTTTCAGCATGAACGAGTACGCTCTAACCGTTTCTACATTTGTGTGGCAGCTTTTTGAATTCGTGACAAATAGTTTTTAAAACGAGAAGCAAAGGATATCAGCGAGTGGATATGCGGATTTGCTTCAACACAGATAAAGAAATCGCCGTATAGCAAAGTCTCCATTGCAGAATTAAAACATAAGAATCTCATGATTGAAATCTCCCTTAAGATATTAGAACATAAGAATATAAAAATAAATCATGCAGAGAACGAAGTGACCTGGAATGGTTGATAAAAGAAGTCCTGCACTCCAGATGAAAGGTCGCGAACAAGTCCAAACGGATTTCCAAGAATATCCAGACCCAGAACAAGTACATAAAGCTGCTTAATGATCTGCGACGTATAGTGCCCTGTTATTTCGCCTTGCAGCTGAGAAGTTGTATAGAATGCATATTTTCGCTCGAAGAATGCCAATCTTAAGAAAAGATAATTCAAAATAGAATCGAGTCATTAAGCGTCGCAACTTCCAATTATTTATCGAGAAATAACATAGATGAGAAACAATAATCAAATAGCTGTAGCGTCCAACACGTTTCTCTCAAAGAACGACTTCGACTGATAACAACCATAACTTTTATTTATGAATTCTATTTATGAAATTATTTATAAAATTATTTATGAAAACTTTTATTTATGAAATTATCTTAAAATGAATTCTGTCCATCTTTCGTCGTAGATAAAAAAGTTGTTTCTTATATTTATTACAAACCTCGACTCCATGCGTTAAATTTAATGTTTATAATAACTAAAATAAATAATCAGAAGAATGCATGTAAAGGAAATGGCAAGTGAGTGAATAAGAGACTGGACACTTTTTAAAACGCAAAATTTAAAAATCGCCGTACTTGAAAACCACGTCCTGAATCTCCGTCACTGTTACACCAATACTCTTCAGGAAAACATTGATAAATTCGGACTGAACTGGAAGTTGAACAGCTTCTTTTGACTTCAAAGTCTTACCCTTCAGTTGCTTACCAGAACTGCCACCTTGTGAAAATGACAAATGTATCTGTAAAAATTACACTAAACGCTATTATCTGAAACAAAAAGACCACAAGGCTTTCAATTTTCCTTCTCAAAACAACCTGAAATAATAGGCTCAAAATGCTTGTACTCTGAAAGTACTTAGCACTTTTAACTTATGTTAATTTCCTTATTAAAATGCATCCCCAGCCAAATTTAGCAAAATATCAACTTCCTCTCAAGAAAAAACTACACGAATAGAGTTCTTTTTTACGATAAAATATGATAAAATATGCTAAAGTTTTGTGGAAAGATTGCACGCACCATGAGTGGGGAAATATGCAAATTTTCATAATACGCTGCTTGTTGAGAAGCTGTCGTAATTCCCGCAAACACTTCTAACTGATTTTTCGTCATTTCAAAATCTTTTACAAAAGCTTCTTTCTGCAAAAAAGCAGCAATTTACGAAGATCAGTACACTGCGCGATTTATTTCACTTTGCAGTTTGAAAATTTGCAAACACTATTACTGTGTTCTATATTGCATTGAAATTCATTTGCTCATCACATCAGGTAATATTTCTAATGCAACCTAATTTGAGATATCCTCAAACAGGTTTTTTATAAGAAATAAAACATTCTTTATGGAGAATCCAAGGAACTACAATCAATTTTCTGACCACAATTAAAAAACACAAATAGTCAAGAAAACGAGAACTTTCGATGCTGTACTTGTACATGTGAAATTATGGTAGCAAAATACAAAAAATGAAAGGCACCTACTTACTTACTTACTTTTGTGCTTTGTGAAAAAAGACTCTAACCGTATATGGTTTACTATCAGCCTGAGAGGATATCCAATCCAATATTGCGTTTACAAAACCTTGGTCAACTTGCACTGCAAACTCCTGTACCAAAAGATGAAGATATTTTATTTGCGCAATCCTGCTGTGTTCTGATTCTCGTCTTATGTAGCTTAATTCGGAGAAAGATTTTGGAGCTGAAAATCCTTTGAAAAGAAATCGACTCTACTAACACAGGTTATCAGTAAAATCTTTTTGTCCATCTCTATAATCAAAATAAGACTCTAAAGAACACCCTGTATGCATCAAACCTTATAAAAATCGTCTACAGTTAATAATCAATTTTTGATAATATAAAAATAGTTCTCTTTACCGTTGTCTTGAATGACAGATCTTGGTGGCGGTACAACTGAGAGCACGCAAGGAAATACGCATGCTGGTAACTGATTGTCGATCTGTAGATGATTTAGCTAAAAAAATTTTTTAAAGAAATAAAACAAACGATAAAAATGATGACAAAACTTGAGAATGCTTCAAAACATTCTTTTTTTTTCGAATTCTACTTTCCGTAAGATTTAGAAATGTAGAAGGTTACGGAAGTGTTACGGATGAGGTATATTTCCGTATTAAGAAAGCGAGAATTACTGACAAACATATAGTAAAAAGGATAAGGAAAAATGCAGGAAGTCGGTATCATTCTTCCGAAACATGATAGGAATTAAGTTAAATGCTTTTTGGTCGTTGGGATGCTTGACAAGATAAAACTAAGATTGAACTAACGGTTGTTGATCATTAAAATACTACTTTATATATGCTGTCAAAAATTATATAAATACAAATGGATAAAAGGCACTAGGATACACATTAACATACGAATAAAAAAAAGTGCAGGTATACCTTCATATGGAATTGCGATTGGTGAGGAGTTTGCCTATAATGCATCCAAAGTCCAATTTGAAACTGTCGCCGGATGTCAATCTGAAAATTCGCTTAGTTAAAATAAAAAACTTTGAAATAACGTAAATTTATTAAACAAAAAAAAATAAAAATAACGTAAATTTACTAAATAAATATTAAACAGAATTTGCGAATACCACTAGTTAAATAAAAGATGTTCCAAATATTATGCTGTTCAAATCAAATTGTCTACAGCTGCCAATGCATCAAATTATACCCAATCTTTTTGTTTCTTTAATTTCATATGTATGAAATCAAACTCTAGTTTGTCCACCACTACTGTTTCTTCTAAGCGATCTCGAAGCCATGCTTGATAAGCGTGTTCGATTGTTTCCATCTGCTTAATTGTGAATGACCTGGAAACAAGCACTATTATAGATCCGATGCTCATGAAAAGTACGAGTATTACTTGTTCTGTATCTTGCTTGTTTATTAATGTAATCGACTGAACCGTTATCATCAAAACAGCTTGGTTTGATTACTTAATAATGTATTCTTTGGCGATTAACATAAAAGCATTGTTTTCTTCAAAATTCGTAATTTTTCATCTGATGTTGTTGCAATTATCTGTATTAAAAAATTTTAATGTTTCAAGTAGAATCAATGTACAAAAAACATGTAAAATGTTAATCTGAAAATCTGTTTAGTTAAAATGAAGAATTTCAAAATAGCATGAATTTACTAAATGAAAAAAACAAAAAGTAACATAAATTTACTAATGTACACCTATATTACATTTTAGCAATACAATGTTGGCATAAGTAAGACGCTACCTCTGAATTAAACCATGAAGAAAATCATGAAAAGATTGCAAAACTTGGGTACTGACGTCCAGATTTTCTAGAATTCTCAGAAACAAACTTGAATCGAGTTTTGACGAACTGCTCCCAAATAATAGCTGATGATGCGATGCATAAATATGCGATTTCTTCGGTTTTAAAATTGTCCACTATTGAAATACCAATACCTTGCAGAGATATTTCAACAGACAGTGTAGGAAGTTCAATTTCATAAGCTTCGTGTGCAGTAGTCACTACCGCCAGATCATCAGTAAATAGATATATACGTTGACGTCCGTTCAAAAATGATACCTACGCAAAAATATAGTTCAAAAAACTTTAAATCCACAGAGAAATTAAAAGGAACCGCTCAATGTCAAGAGAGGAATTCGCAAGAAGGTCGGGAATAGAACATGCAAGACTTGCCCTGGATGTAACAAAATACTCAAAAGAGCATTTTAAAAAAAGTACATTTCTGTCCTAAAATATCCAGTGACAAAATAGCTGTAGTACAGGAACTCCTTCATTATTTTAGATTTCTTCCACCTGAGCGGCTGTAATTTTCTTTTTACACGTGAGACGCTAAACGAAAGCAAAAAAAAGTGGAAAATTTTCACTTAAACTCTGGTGAAAGTTAAAGATACTCAGATCCACCTACCCAGTAATAATGAGCACAGTCTGAATTAGATGGTCGGTAATCTTCGAATGCATTCCGGATCAAATCATCCATATGGCTGGCATCACCACTTTTCCACTCCAGTTCACGATCACGAATCACATCTGCCCATGTAAATGCACAGCTTTCCCATGGACCCAGTATCTTTTTTGATTGAGCGCCTACAAATTCGAGTTAGAACTTTTGCATACAAAAAAGGATGAAGAGGTTGATATGAAACTGTCAAGACGAAACAAAAGTGGAAGGAAAAGGGATGTAAAAAACATATAAATTCGTTACCTTTCTGATTAAATTCCACTGATTTTTTCGTTGCGTTCATTATGATAGCAGGAGCCATTCCTGGTTCAAACGATTCAAGTTTGATAATCGAAGACGATTCGCAGACTGTGACGGTTACATATACACCGAGATACTATAACTTAACAACGTAAACGGCAAGAATATCAAAGTTCAAAAATATTTAATGACCCGTTGAAATGCATAAGTGTAAAAGTGGAATTAGTAATAGTAATCAATTTCTTTGTGGCTAAAAATTTATGAGGAAATGATGCTAAAGTCAAAGACATATGCATCTTTTTAGAGTGCCTTTCATTAATTTGCGGAGAGATGGATTTACATCGTTGTCGATCTGACAGAATCCTTCAAAACTTTCCGTGATCGGAAATAATATTGACTCCTCCGCTGTACCACCGTATCTGACAACAGCATATTTTCGATTTTCTTTCTGTGATGGCCAAAAACCAATGCACTGCAAAAGATTTCCATTCCTATGATTCTAAAGCAGAGATAAAATCAACTGCGGAGATAGTGGTACATGCTAAAATAAATTTAGAAAACAGCAAGAACTTTGCTAACCCCCGAGTATCGAATTAGGCCTACAATCAAAGCATTATATAAAACAGGTTTAGGAGAAATGAATTTGTGATAAGTATAATTATTGAAAAGCGATGAAAAACGATTTGAGCTATTTAGAAAGTTCTTAATTTTTTAAAAGAGAACAAAATAAACTTACTGCCTGAGATGTAACTAGAACCCAGTTTTGCGCTCCAAATTCCCTTATTTCCAGCGGGAACCGGCTTTCATTGTGAAGCAAATAGAAGGGCAGGAACGTGATTACCTTTGTCAAGCCCGATTGACACATACTTATTTGCAACGAAATACTTTGCTCACTACTGCTTTCATCTTTACAGCCAATACGTCCCGAATTTCCTACCGCATCCAGTGGAAATTCATTCGTCCAGTAGTTTCCGAACAATGATAATCTTGCCTAGAAAGTCAAAACTCAGTAGGCAAAAGGAATATTCTGTATATTGGCAAGTCACAAACATTCGAACAATACATAAGTGTACATAAATTTTGCTAAATGTGGCGACAACGACCAGGAACAATTAAATTATACAAGCAGTCCAACGCAAACGATGTCGTCTTTCTCAACTTCTTTCGAAAAATATATTTTGATACATATGTCTAGGAAATGTTTCAATCCCTTCAGCTATGTGCAACAACAAATCGTACAAACTGCTTATTAGGGAAATCTACGCTTATTGCATCATTTTCAACAAAGAAAATAATGCAAACGATGTCGTAATAGATTTATACCGAATTACTACTTTTAAGGAGTAATTCAAGAAATATGAGAAAAAAGATACTATTGGAGCATAATCAGTCAAAATTTTATACGGGAAATAAAAGAATGGTTTGTGGAAAAACCATTCTCCCATGTTAAAAATGGACTCCAAATGGTAGGTAAGATTTTGAACTTCTTGACTACTTTCGGAGATAAGCCACCTCTGATTTCTTAAAACATTTAATATCAATATTTAAGTGAAAATCAGTATATAAACATTTCATTACCATTGAAAGAACCAATACTCCGAAATTTCAAAAGGTGGTCACCTTTTTTTTGGATAAAAAATCCTTGGCATCCAGTGGTAACAAAGCAGGCTCGCTGAATGGTTCCTGGATTATCGCATCACAGTACTATAAAGAAAAAATGCATATGAATCGTTTTATGATAATCGGAACAAACAGAGAAAAATCACATATCTGGGACAGATCAACGGCTCAACAGTTACACTACTATTAATTGAAAACCTCATAGCTGATAAAACGATTCAATATAATGGTAAACAAGTGTTCGGTAGTTAATCAAAACTTCAAATATAAAATCAGTCTCGATTTTATCAATGAAGTCCTAACAATGTCATTTTAAGTCGAAATATTGAACTCTGGAAAAAGTGCTGCAAAAATAAGGATCACAGGTTGATACAAGAAGTAGGTGCGCATAATTTTCCCAAATAGTATGAATCAACCAAAAAAATTAACTATTACAGATATTTAGAAATCATAAACGAAAAAGTCCTTAATCACTCCTTTCCCCTTCCAATTCTCCTAATATTTCCAAACTTGGTTGTTCGGTCTAACCGAAGAAAATGAGACTGGATATAAAATGATTTCCTGTTACAAAAATGAGCTCGATACATAACAACCCTTATTCTAAATATTAACTTCTACTGAAACTTCTCAGTGAAAGTATCAAGTGAATAAATTCACAAACCGCAATGTGTACTTTTTCAGTAGCTTCCACCGTGTAATTAAAATTAAAACAAAAACGTGTTACATCCATGCAGTCTACAGAGAATGAGATAGTACAGAAGAAGTAAAAAAGGAAAAGTGCAAAAGGAGTAAAAAGGAAGTTACTGTACCTGGCCTTCCATTCCTCCCTTTTGACACGGTACGCATTTGGTAGTTTTTCCAATTATACCTTCACTGCTTTCCTAAATAGGCCTAATTTCCTCACCGATAAAACTGCAGTAAGAATCCAAAACAAAAAATACATACATATTTTCAATAAACAAACTCGCTACAAAGAAGGCTTAAAGTACCACGTGCCAAAGTACCAAAGTACCGTCGTCGTAATTTTAATAAACTCTAAATCCAAAACTGATAGAAAAACAAAGTGGAGATACCGCAAAGTATGATAGCATAGAGTATTAAAATCATTACCGTAAATTTCACAATTCTTCCGGTGTTATTAACGAACCAATAGGGTGCGTACACTTCAGCATCAAGTTTACGATGAGCGATTGTCCAGTGAATACCAAAATTCTACAACTTAACAAATTAACGTTTTTTACTCGAATCTATCAAATTCACAGTTCAGAATACAATTAAAATTACATACTGATTGTACCTTCAGAAGTTCCGAAAGGAACCAATTACGGCTAATAAAAATATACTTACCAAGATTTTCTCACCAGATGTAAGTGTAATGACCATTAAATCTTGGTGTTCCACAGGGAAAAGCATCTCTGTCACATAGAGATCACCACGATAACTCACCTAATGAACAAAACAGTCAATTTTAGCCATATATTAAAAAGTTTGTAAACTAAATAGTTTAAACACACGAAAGTGTGGAATTTTGAATCGATCAAAAAAACTACATGATTTATACAAAAGAGACTTTTAGGAAATTTAGAAAATATACTTCAAAATTGAAATTCTGTCCTGGGATAATGTTCAATGAGATTTCTTCGCCACCAGATAGTTCCTTCTGTATCTGAAATCGACAAAGTGCTGATTTCGATCACCGTTTAGCTATTCAATCTTCTTTTCAAACATTCCTTAACCGAACTGATTCAAGTAACAACTATGTTTTTAGGTTGGAGATATTTGTTTCAGTGCTAACGTGGAGTATATGTGTGCGTGGTCTTTCTATTGCAATCAACAATTAGTGTTGTTCGGAAACTAATCTGATTCAACATAGCTCACCGGAGAAGTAAGTCGTAGAGGAAAAGGTAAGAAGTTATGCAGAGTGAGAGGTGAAAAAATGTGCACTATATAACTGGTGTCGTCTAAATTCCTGCTTCTTTCTGCTTTCAGTGGTACTTCTTCAACAATTAGAGCTACGAACAAGCCTTGTTTCATATCTTCTGATAGATCACACCGCACTATGTACCGCGCCTTGTCTTCAAATTTATTCCAGCAAACTGATTCATTGCTCATCTCATAGCTGGAATGTTGATTCTCATCAGATGGCTAATGTCAAGAAAAATATAGGAAGAAACATGAAGAAACCAACGCATCATCGTGAGGTCTGATAAACAATTCGCCAGTAGCTGTGTACAATAACGGAAGAGCAATATCAAGTGGTTCACTACTCTTTGTTGCGATACCACAGAAATCAAGTCTTCCATCACGCACTGAATGAATTTCGAAAGGTATGTCCAAGTGATTCACGAACTGCAATCAAAAGCATATAAATACGATTGTTAGAAAACTGAGATAGATATTTCTCTGATATAGACATTTTTTTATGGATATTACAAAATGATATTTCAGTATATTTTGAAATAAGGAGAGATATGTAAGTCACAAAAATATATAGAAATTCTTAACAGCAGATATCACTTATGAATGTGCAACAAAAACTTATTTTTTCGATGTACTAAGGAAATCTTGCTGATGGCTTATAACTATTTCCTAAGGATTAACAAGCCGATAACCTAACTGTTTCATAAGCTTGGTAACTCGTACCTGGACGATGGAATGAAGGTAAATAAGTCGTCGCATATTTTCCACTTTTGTTTCTACAACCACCTTCCATTGTTTTCCACTACCACTTTTCACTGGGAGTTCAAAAGTTCTCGATTCGGATCTCATTATGTTTACCTGTATTTCAAAAAATGCTCGAAGAACAGAAAGAAATACATATAGCCAAAATATATAGAAATAATTTCATCATAAACATGGTCATCCCGTGGACAAATGCTGAAAGTAAATAAGATAACCAGTAGAGAAAAATTTACATATCTCTCTGCATCTATTTCATCAAAAATTAGGCGCAGCTCCGCCTTTTTTGTACTCTGGCTCTGTGTGGGCCCTATCTTTTCATTGAGATCAATGGGAATATTTAAGTCGACGAAAGTGCACGGCGTTGCGTCAATCGGTAGTCCGTCAGCGCTGATCTATAAATTATTTCAAGCTGAAAGAAGAAAAAACGAGACGTCGAAACAAATTAGAAATATTGTCCATATAACGCAAATAGATTTCCTTATTCACCCTCGATATAAGTCGACTATTAATGTCCACTGTAAAAAAATTCTGATGAATTAGGGAACAGGATGGCTCATGTTAATAGAAAACACGAAAGGGACTAAGCTTGAAAGTGAAAAATTCCTAAGTTCAGGTAATAACTTACAATCAGTGTCTCAGTGTTATCAATTTTGGTTGAAATGCCAGCACTGTTGAATATCAGATATTTACTACTGCCTGGCAAAGTTCGCCCCATAGGTGGTGAAATTAATTTCGCAGCTCTCTCGAAAGAATCCATGAGATGGTAAGATAATAAAATCAGTGATTTTGTTATTGTTATGTTGAGCAATTCTGATGCTTTCAAATTAATAGTTTTCTGTGACAATGACGACGTATCATTTACTGACAGCTCATCTTCACTATGAGTTCGCAACTGCAAAGTTCGCAACTTTCAAGTTCGCAATTCATTCTATAATATAGTATCCTTCCTGATAGGATGTAAGTTTATATTCACATCATAGATATCTTGAGGGAGAGCGAAAGTTTTTGCTACGCATGGAAGCAACAGTTCCATATAAACTCATCCTATATCTTCACCAATTTCAAACAACTTCTTTTCAAGTTTCCAGGATGCCCTAACATATTCACAAAGAATATAGGACGATACAGTTGGGGAAACATAGCATTTTTTTTGAAGTGATGGTCAAAAATAACACGAAGCATAAAATAGCAAGAAGCAAAATTTATGGTTTCTTGCCTCAGCCTTCAAAGCCCAACGTTTCCAAACGTTATCAGCCACTTCTACCGGTTCGACTATGGGCTCCCATACGCAGAACGTTTCATTGTAATACGAAATCTAAAATGCAAGTTGAATATATTTATGTATAGCAAAAACCATTGAGATAAGAATTAAAAAGGACAAAAAATTGACAAAAGTATTTCAAATGAAGCTTGCACAAAATGTCAGATTTGCGGCAAATGAAGAATAAAGTGAATTGATGAAATAAATTAAAATGATTAAATTACCTGAAGCTCCACGTCGGCATCGACAGCCAACAGCGAACTCCACTGTGACGCAGTGACCATCGTCGAACTTTCCAAAAGTACCACCGGCACCGTTCTATTGTCCACACCAACTTCCAAAGTGACGATAAGCGATTCCATTGTAATAGTTCCCTGCAAAAGTTAGTGTTGTCGAAAAGAAAAATTTAAAACAAGAACAATAACAATGAAGAAATAAATGGTTCCTGCAATAAGTTGATATTTCGTGATTAATATTCCACAATCTTCTCATTTCGTTGTCTCTCGCCTATTATTGTCTCCTTTCATTTTTATCATTAAATTTTCTCTTATGTATCAAGTGCAAAATCGTAAGAACTCTTGTCGAAAATACTCATTATTTACATCTTTTTAGATCTCCTTGAGAAGATGTCTGAGTTACAGCAATCAAAATCTACCTGCTGTTCATGACTGACAGCAGCGGCAACATCCACTGCATATTCAAAATCTTGTTTTTCCTCCACCACGTTGAACCACCAGTGCTTGTTCTTATCGATTTTACGTTTCTCCCAATAATTTGGATACTTTTTAAGCACTGTCTTTCGCGCAGTAAACGAATCTTCCTGAGAATTTCTACTTTAAGAAAAGTGAATAGCATATATGCTGCTTACCTTCCCACTCATTTATTATTTGCCCTGCGTTCTAATGCTCATCAAATGTCACAATTAGAATAATGCAGGATTACTGCATGCATTTTAAGAAAGAATTTAAATATCTTAAGAGTTTTCAATGTAATTTTAAATTAAAAATAAAAGCCTTCGAAGAACTCACCCTAACATTAGCTGCTAATAAAAAAGCCGAAGAAACAGCACTCAGCAAACGGATTATGGCGGGAGATATTTTTAAATATAACTGTCCAATATGTACTACAAGATTTTCAGACAACGTTTTTTGTTCCGTTGTTAATTGAACATCAATATCCGTGCGTTTTAATACCTAGAATGTTGGAAAACAGTAGAAATAGCTTTGCTTTTTCGTCTTAGACGTAATTAAAGCCATTCATGAAGCGAGCTGCAAACGGCGAAGTATGATTAAAAAGAAGTAAGAACTTCGATTTCAGTCAATTTTGATATTTTTACGAAGTTTTCCAACTACCTGGTAATCAAACGTGCTTATGATTTGTAAATTCCTGATGCCACCGACCATAACTTGCTTTTCACCGTCCTACAAATAATTTTAGAGTCTTCCAGATACTGCATAAAATTTACGAAAAGGTACTGAAAGTAAGAACTTTTCCCTTTATTCTGAGTCCAATCAACGTCATAATGTTTCAGTTGACTCACTCGGCCAGCTTCACTTATTCTCTCCTAAGTTTACAGAGGAATAATTTTCATATTAAATGATGGGAATTTCATATGACTTCAACTTAATGCACGAAATGTGTTTTCTTTACCGGATTTGCTTTGAGATCAATGCTAAACGACAAAATCAATGCTTGGGAATTTTCAGGAATGACAGCATCATCTATCAGGATAATTTCGGCTTCATGCATTGTACAGTTCATTGTCACTGTGCCTATAAACAATTAGTCAAAATCCCCAAATTCCATTTTGGAATGTATAAAGAATGGTCTAATACAGCCTTTGAAACAGGCTCGTTGTAAATAAGCCTGACAATTTATAACATTAGAACTACTTGAATTCGTCGAAAGATAAACCACACTGCCAACTTGCTAGCTAACAGGTTGCTCGATTTTGTTAGCAAAATGTATTGGTCTTGAAAGAGATGCAACATAATGAAGTTTTCAAAACCAATTTTTACGTGCAGACTAACCTCTTGGTGAAATCGTCTCCAATTTTTCCTTATTTTGTGTAATATTTGGAATAATCACTTCTTCAGCCTCTCTTGCTAACTCCTCAGATGTTTTTCTCACCGTGAAAAAGTTCATCAGCGCTCCTAGAAACTCTGGGCAAAGCCGCAGAAAGAAAGCGGAGGATGAGAAGAAGACTGCAAAATGTGGGATTTGATATCGAAGACAACGAAGACAAGATGAAAATTGTCAAAGCCTTTCAATTTAGTTTTGTTTATTTCAGAGCAATACCAATTTTTGCAATACCAATAGATACTAACCTAAAGGTGAAAATGCTTCCATTTCCCCATTATTTTATGCAGTGCTAGGGGCGCGACAAAAAGAACCGAAAAAATGTCCGTCAAGTTTTAAAAAATCTGGATACATATCAAATTAAGCATGATGACAAATACAAAACAAATTAACTGATTTTATCTCCCGTTGCATTAGCTTGGTAACGAGCAGCGACAAACTCATTGTGAATTTTTCCGGTGTTGTCAGGCTGCAAATTATAGAAAGGACAAACATATTTCGAAATTTCTTTCGGGATCTATTTTTATGCTAACGAAATGGAAAAATGATAAACAGATGTGGATAATAAAAAAGCGAACTGACTGCGGATTACACCATATGGCACTCCAAAACTCACCTTTTTATCCAGTAATCGCCGTGTTTTGGTTTTTTCGCTTCTTTCATCATCCATGACAAATACTTCCAGGCTAATAGCAATGTCCAACTCTCCATTTTCCGCTTTTGAACCACTCAATTTAATTTTTTTCAGTCTCATTGCTGCAAAACCCGCTGTTGTCTTCCGAGCGATCTCACCTTTTGAATTCTCCTAAATAGCGTAGCGATAAGAAATCACTCGATTCCGACATGAACAAAAATGAACAAATGCAATTTCATTCACTAAAAGCATTTTCCAGTACTACTTATCCGATCAAACTGACTAAATCCATCAAAACATTGTGGAGACATCTTCAATGAAAGAAAACAATCAAAAAACAAGCTTGCAAAATTTTACAATTACTAATGAAGAAATTACTAACAAAAGAAATCTTCACTATTACTGAAAAAGGAAGTGCAGTATGTCAAATCAACTAACTAAAAAAAAATTTCCCTAAGTACAGACCAAATTTGAGGAACCACGATATAGAACTGCAGCGATCTCGTCCAGTTTGAAACTGAAAACAAAAGATTTCGCCTTGGAATCACTTGGCGGACTTCCATCACTTTCTGATGTAGCTTTTTCTTTAGATTCCTGTCTTCTCTCCGCAACATTTTTTTCCCGCCGAATCAAAGGATTTACAGATGATGATGGCTCCGATGATAATTTGCTTCCTTCCGCCAAATTGCCACTGAGTGTTTTCAGGATTGTCGAATAATCTTCTTCTGTCATGCCCATCTACAATTTAGGATTATAAAATGGCTGTGATTATAGGAAATGAATACTTTTATGTCATGGGAAAAATCATGCATTTATTTGCAGTAAAGATACAGTTTCTTTGCTAGCGATGATTACAATAGAATTAACATTTCATCAAGGAACTAGTAAGATCGGTTTTCTATCTAAATAACTTTAAATAAAAACATGTCCAAGAATACCGAAAATCCTTAAGATCCAAGATTATCAGCAACATTGATTCTAATGTATGGTTATCAATAGCCATTTCAGACAGGAATTTAAGAAAATCAATAAACAAGAATTATTTCGACGCTGCTTTCCAGTTAGCAAAAATTACCTCAATAATAGGTAAGTGAGCGTCGACGAGCATCTGTGGGGCTGTTTTGTACCATTCAAAAGACAAATTCCGGTAAACTAATAGCGAAAATGTGACTGGCTTCAAAATTTGACAGGTAGATAACACTTCTACATCTTTTTCCGAAAGAAGTGAGCTAAAATGTATGCATCATCAATCACTGGAAGAAAACAGAAGCTGCAGTTCTGATGAAAAGCTGCTACTCTAATACTTCAAAATATTGTCAAGTACTAAATACAGGACTTCGGTTAAAGCTCATCTTCCTCTAATTTGACACTTTAAAGAGATTCGGAATTCTATGCAAAAATCTTGCTGTCTATCCGACATGTTTTTGTGTTTACCGTTCTTTTCTTGACCTTCTCCTTGCACCAAATTTCTTAGTTTCCCATTTACTCATGGAAACGTTCTAAAATGAATCTTCAAGCAAAAAAAAACAATGCAAACATACATGCCAAAGCAGACATCAGTTAAGTTGATTTGTATCGAATCAATAATTGCTCTCTGCTCATGCTGCGCCGCTGAGATTGAATTAATAGCAGTAAGCTTACCTAAAAACTTTCTGTTTAGGAATATACGCATTGTAAAATCATCTAATCAGAGTATGCATTCACGTCGAGTTTTTCAATGTCTAACATGTGTTGTAAGCAGGGATTTTTTGCAATTACATTAAAAGCGCCAAATATTTTTATATACTTGGCAGCTTAAAGTAAATTTTATTATAACAATCGGATCCCATACGGAGCAATAAACCAAACACAGACGCACCAAAATCAACAAAGAGAGCGTTCGACGACATAGTACTCTTTGGTACCAAAATTGTCGGTGCTGCAAGTTCAATATCTACACCAATTCTCAAAGGTGACTCTTCCATAAGATGTTTAATCTTTTGTGCAGCCTGTGATGCCTTTACAGATGCATACGATTGCGCTTGTGCTGCAACTTGCGCTGCCTCAGCTTGAAATGGAACAGCAAAACGCTGAAAGCGGTGTGCTAGTATAGACTGAAACTCAACTAACAAATGGTGTTATCGAAAAAACCTCTCTACAGATATTACCAAAAAATGGTGAAATATTAAAGAACTAAGCATAATAAGCTAAGTTTTTAGCGACTAGCTTCTATTCGATCCCGAATCAAACCAGAAAATGGCATATAAATGAAGATGGCTTCAAAGCAAGGCAACATAATACCACTATACTTTTAAAAATGTTGCCTGTCGAACTTCATTCGAATAATCTGTGTTTGCAGAATTTCAGTTAAAGTAAATTAACTTACCTTCATTCTTTCAAGCCAAAGGAAAAGAAGTACGAAACGAATACGAGCAAAACGGCATTTAATAAAAAAATCGAGACCAGAAGGTTGCATATGTTTCTCAGCATCAGTACGATTGTACTGCATAAAAGTAAATGATAACATCTCTTTATCGTCTTCACAAAGAGCCAGTAAATGTTTGTAGATTGTTGTTCCAGTTCGGTCTTCCATTGCTATCGTTTTGACTCCACCCTCCATTTTCAATGTTCTCTGCATTTTTTTAATTATTAGTCTAGCATTACAGGTATATATATATATGTAAAAGAAAATGCTATATTAAAATAAAATGGAAAAGAAGCCAAATAATAAAATATCAGTAACCTTTATCAGGAAGCGCTTAATACCACTGCCCGCAAAATGGCAACATCATCTAAAGTGCCAATTGAACTATGCAATTTTTTTTGCATAAAAAAAATCTACCGGCTAAAATGACCTTAAAACAAACCACACGCATTGTTACAGCGACCTTCACAAGACTGATGTTTAACGTCGTATCCAAGCATTTTGCTGAACCAACATAAACCGATAAAGCATCAAAAATAGCATTTACATGCACTTTGACAATGAAATCATTTCGTGTTTGCACCAGTTCTCGTTCACGCTTTACATGACTTAATTTTAACGATTCGAAAGCGGAAGGTCTAGCCAAGCTGTAAAATATTGTTTCAAATAAATTCAGATGTCTTCACTGCTGCCAAGCTTGGATATTTCTTTCAAAAAAAATTTTCCATAATTTTGATTGAAGTTAATTCCTCAACCAACACTTATTTACAGAAATGAAATCAATGAGACACATGAAAGAGTTTCTTTTTCCACAAAACCATAAATCAAAATATGATCGGCTACTTTAGTGTTTTTAACATTTTTTCATCTTATGAAAATATGCCATCAACAGGTGTTTCAAAATATCAGTATGTGTAAAAGTGCGGAAGAGAAACAACTGATTCTCGAAACACTTATGCCAACCTTTCCTGACTTGAAGATCGCAAAATTAGCATTTTCTTTTCATGGAGTATTGGGACATCACCTACAGATACTCCGGCAACACTTTCATCACGTTGATAATTTTGTGCCGGTTTACTTTGATATTGCAACTCAGCAATCTTTTCTTGAAGTGTTTCGAAATACCTTTTCAGATTGATTATGGCATCCTTAAATGTAACTGCAAATACTTTCAATTTAAGAAAAACGCAACATAATTAACTTCTTTTAGCAATTTCGTTGTTAATTCTGATTATCAGAAAAAAAAAGTTATATCTATTAATCTAAGACCACGACGGTAAAAGATAAATAAAGATAAATGAAATGATACAATCAAAACATAATTAACTTCTTTTAGCAATTTTCGAAATAACTTCTTTTAGCAATTTTGAATAAACCTGGTGAAGTGATACAATCAAAGGTTTGAAAGAAATATCGATCGCTTGCTCCATAGAATTATACTCGGTTGCGAAGAATGGGCTTTCCTTGTTTGCCTAAAGGTAAAAACATATAAATATAAAATCAAAAAAAAAAAAGGTAAACTTACTTTTCGCAAGACATGCATGCAAATGCTTTAGTGTGAAAATCACAAGCTGACTGATGCCCTTTGATTAAAATTTTATTATATATTACACAGAAAAGTGCTCCCTATGTTTATTTCTATACTAATAGTTATTCGGGGCAACTGTGATTTAGATGGAAACGATCACGATATAAAATTACACAGTATGCAAACATATGTGAAATGCTAACCTGTACGTACTTAAATTGAAGCAAATTTTGGTCAGTGCTTTGAATATTGTCAATAACAAATAATGTATTACGTCCGGGAACCAAACTTTTATATTGCGGTTGTTCGATTGTTAAATCACCTAAATAAGCCACTGCAACCATATCAAATGTACGCATCTGCAAACCACAACCCAAATATCTAATCTGAACAGACAAAAATACTGCATCCGGAGTGCCAATGACAATTTGAACCTGTAATTGAAACCCAATGACAATTTGAATGTAACAGCGCCAATTAGAAAGAACGGAAAATTTTTTTTTCAACTTCCAGCAATAAACAGTAACTTCCACTAATTTTCCAAATATATAAATTTCTAGACTATTAATCGAAGGAAAGGTAGAATAAAGAACGACGAAAGAAATCAGTAATTCCATATGCTCAAAAGTTGTGGAAATTAATTTAGGAAAATAGAAGACCTGAACCTGTTTTAATGTGAGATTAACTTCCAGTTGAATTTGCTGCATATTAGTCTTCTTCTCTCCCTGCTTCTCCAAATTTTTCTTAACTTCCAGATGTTTTTCATCTTCGGAGATTTCACTGGCCTCCATGATGGCGTGCATCGTTGCTAGATCTCTGATTTTTGTCTTCTCAAACTACAAAAATAAACTGCTTCACGTGATATCTGAATGACACCACGCTGAGATTCTGATCTGAGGAGACGTAAAATGACGAAAGCGAATGCAGCAATATCAACAGTCGTTATAACTATTTCTTTTAAGCTTACAAAAAATTATATTACATGAATTACGATAGGGCATACCTCAGCTGGAGGAAAAGCTATACCCAAAGCGTTGATTTCACTTTCAGGAGTAGGAGTCGGAACACTTAATATCAACTTTATAAGCTCCAGTAAACGCTCATCTGAGATTGTTATGATAATATCAGGTAATTCACCCATTATTTTAATCCTGAATGCAACTTTGTTTAATCATAAGGAAATGTTAATTTCTCTCATGAATTCCTCAATCATGAAGAAAAAAGAGAACTTATGATTTCGAAACATTACACATATGTTACCTAAACAATAATGCGAGATAAGGAACGCCGTAAATCATTACAGCTATCACATTGTAAGACATGAAACAGTACTTTTATCAGTGATCAGTCTATTTTCGTGGTACAGAAGGGAAAGAATAATCTAAAATATATACTGAAATTTACTTGGGTAGCTGTAGGTCATCGATGGATGACTTATGAAAAGCGACATTCAATCCAGTTGGCTCCAGTAAATGAAAATGCGACTTAGGTTCCAACTTCGCATTCATTCCACTTTGATAGTTATCCGAGAATATCAATTGCATATTGGTCAATCTCACAGAAAATTTATCGTATGCACGACTGAGCAACTTTGCCCGGCGCTCTGCTTCCTGCAAATGAATAAACAGCAGTGCTCGAAGTTGTTTCTTGCAAGTTACAAATCACTGCAGCAAAAAAATGACGATCTTCTGAAAGGGGAAGATTTTTCTTAAATCACCTTTTTATTATTTTCCTTAGAATAAAAATGAACTCCGAAAAAGACTGCTCTAACAAGACAACATCAAACCTGTATTACAGAAAACGTGTATGGGGATTTAAATTATAATCAAACCTTGAATAGCATGGTATAACAAAGCATCATCACTTCATTCTCTTAGAAGTAATAAAAATTAAACCACCACGAAAAGCAAATTACGCCCGTTCGTACAGTGCAAGAACGGTAGAAAATTGTATCGAAGCAATGCGGAAATAACCAAGAAATCGTTTTTAACCAAACTGATATGAATAAAAACACACTTCATCACCAAGCAACGGTGTTTCAACCAAAGGATCATCGACCATTGTAGTTATTGTAAGTAAACCAAGATCTGCAATCAAATTTCGCTTTTCCTCATTGAATATTCCATTTTCTGAGATGATGACTGTTACAGGTGCAATTCGTATGTCAAGCATTAATTTCGTCCTAGTGTCCACAACGTGAGCTAGCCCTGTGAGCGAACGTGCTTTAACATCTTCGTAACGCGCCATTGCTGCTGCCGTTAATCTAAAATTAGTCTTTGTTCATGATGACTTGGCAGGTGTTTTCTTTTAAAATAAAATAAAAAAACAACTGCTTTCTTATAAACATAAAACATGTTTTATTTATAAAATAGTTCATCAGGGCTATGGAAAACAAAGATTTATTCAATAAAATAATGTATCTTTAACAGTGTAAAACCAAAAAACTTTACTGATTCAGTCGCACACTTTCTGGAGGTCTTAATGCTTCGATAGCAGTGTTAATAGCTGGTGCATGGTATTTCAATACCGTTGGTGCTAATGCGACCTTAATATATTGGTCATACCCAGCTTTATCACGATCCAAAGGATTAGTTTCGACAAGCACTGTTAACCAGTCAATAGAATCATCCTGTACGAACAAAACCTGCTGTCCACAACCATCCATTGTTACGTTTTTTATACCACTTTTAAGGCTAAAAAAATAAAATTGTTTTGATGAGGTTACTAGATGTGAATTCATCCTGAACTAACTGCAATTTTACTTCGTTCTTTTATTTTTTGCTTTTGAACAGTTATCGTTATTTGTCCAATTATCGCACAAAACATCAACTATCATATGAATTGTTTATCGTATGAAAAGGTTAGTTCCTAATTTTACAGTAAATTTTCATTTGCCTTCCTATTCAATAAAATACAATCGAGTTACTCACTTGATAGCTTGAGCTGATGCTCGATGTTCTAATCTGGCGGTAATTACAGAGAACTTCAATGTCAAAGCATCTTCGATTACAATCATAAGCAGATTCAAATTAGCGATGACAACATTTTCCACGAAGTGTTTGGGGTAATCAGTTGGAGGGGTATTTTCCTGAAAAAAGACCGCTTATATATAAAAAAAAAATGTTGTGTTCATACTCTTATCCACACTCTCACTTCTTGTACCTTCATTGAATCCTTACGTTCAAATTCTAAATAGAAGCAAATTACAAACCTGATAATCAATAGCATCAAACAGTTTAGTCTTCTCCTCTGCAGTCAAGGCTTCCTCAAATTTTGTCATAATGTCACCTGATGACGGTGGTATACTTCCTTCTTTTTCTTTTACATCACCGCTACCACTCCACCTAAAATACATAGAAATTAAATTTATTCATGTCCCATTAAGTTTTCCTCTCTTCATTTCGAATTGAGAAAAAAAAAGCGAAACAATATTAAATTTAAGAGTATATTCGGAGAAATTCAGTATATTTTACCAGCTTTTAGCCCAATTTACCCATCCCTGTGGCTGATCTTCCAGTCTCTTCAAACCACGCTTATCGATTTCCATATCAGCTTGCTGCCGAGCAACGTTCAGGTTAAACACATCAAGATGCTTTTCAGTTTCCTGAAACAAGTTATGGCTTAAATGCTAGTCAATATATCCAACCTATTGTAATGTACAATACTATTAAGCAAGACAAAGAGTAGTACAAGAGATCCAAACTAGATGCAAGAAGCCTATACTGTGATGCAAAACTGACTAATTCGTACATCAGTTTATTTTAATTTTTCATTATTCTAAAAAGTGGCATGCCTATTTCAAACATCACAGAAATAAGCACGCGCTATAGAGCAATTAAAGCAGTTTCACAGAGAAGATTGCTGTTGTTCAAGCTTTCAATATCTCAACTGCCTCTCCTAAAATCATTACTTGGATCATCATGATATCTGAAATAGCATTATGTACTGATGATTCTCAATCATGGCTTGTTTATTCTAAGTTTACCTCAATAATACTCCGATCTTTGCTGCTAAGGTTCTTCGTAGTTTGCTTCTTGAGCCAAGCGTCTTTATAAACTCTCACTGATTCCCGATGCTTTTTCATTTTTTCCCAATTCCAATTATTTCTTCGCCTTCTAACAATTTCCTCAACAATTGCATTGTAAGCGAAATACCACCTAAACAAAAAAGTATTCAAAGTCTGAACAGCGCTATATATGAAAAGCTGTTACTCAAGTCTTAATCCCTTCAACATTCAGCATAAGCCAAATTCTTCAAAACTATATCAAACCGCCTCCCACCTTTATTGTACAGAAAATCCAACCAAAAGAAATTCAGGAAATTACCATTTTCTATAATGACCCTTATAGTCATTCAAATGTGGACGATACTTTAGATACTGAGCAGCAGTTCTGAATCTTTCTTGTGCTTCCAACAAGAATAATAGATCTTCATACTGAAACTTGCCGACTGCAACAGCCAATGTATCCACATCCAGAATAAGTTTGATTTTCGGTATCTTCCAATTACAGCTATCTGTTTCAGGTTTCTGATTTAATGCAAGCTTGGCTTGCATGTTAATTGGCTCCAGCACTATAAGTTTAGTTGATAACAAATAATATCAAGCAAATTCGTCACAAAAATTTCCAAACTGTTCACAGCAAAAACTACATTTGAAAAGATCTGCAATGATGAGCTTAATTACGTTAAATCTAGCAAATTTTCTGAAAATAATCTTACATTAACCTTTCTGTGTCGGAAAAGATTACTTTTGGAAGCCCAAATCAATCCATTAAAGACTTACTGTACTTGTATCCAGATGGCTTTCTGTTGCCAACCACGATACCATCATTCATTGCTTGCGAAATTGCAGCATTATCAGTCAAGTCAGACACTAATTCAGAACCAGAATTCCAATAAATTGCAAGGTTTTTTAATGAAACCAATTTGTAGACAATTTTCACAACCTCCTTGTGTATAGTTTCATTCCAGTTTTCATCGGTGGTCTGCAAAATGCTCTTTATAACTCAGTAATCCACTGCACATTTTCACACTCGCTTCAGTTTTGATTTGACTTTCGTTAGGTATTTTTCAACTCAGTTTTCAACATAAATTAAGTAGACTATTGATATTGTTCATATTCGTTGCGTTTAACACAACTTCCTAGTCTTTCGAATAAAGAAAACTCTAATAAAACCATACTCGAGTTCTTTTCTTGACTCTTTGAACAAAAAAGTGAAAAGGGTGAAAAAAAAAAATCTCTGCTATATATAAAATATCAGTGCATTGCAAGTTCGAAAATTCTACCCCTAATTTATTACTCCTTGCAGAAACAGTAATATAGTTTAAGTCTACAGTTCAACTTTTCATCAATACCTTGAAATCGATTCCCTCAAGAGTAGCGCCAACTACAAATGGACGACTACGATGTGAGTACTTATCCTCGTAGCGAATGTGTATATTACGAACTGTGACTTGTAAGTTCTTGATTACTGTAGCAATGAATTTCTCTGCGAATGTATCAGAAGCCAAATCTGGCGGTTCTGGAAAATTCGTAAAACTCTATAACTAAAAAATAAATGTGTTATCTTATAAACTGTAGGTTCTCATGTAAAATGATTTATATGATCTACGGATCTCCCTTGGCGCAACAGTAACCGTTCTCCGCTTGACCTCAGTTAATTATGGTTTACGTTTCTATGATTCATACCTCGAGCACAGTAATTTGTAGACATAAAAAAAAGTTTCAAAACTTACTCCTTTTTCGCTTTCTGTTTTCCTCAAGTCTCGCAAGTGCCTTATCCTTTTCCTCTTTTTCATGTTTTTTCTTTTTTCTTCGCTGTATACGACGCCTTTGTTCGGCACGACAATTAAATTCAAGCCTATAGAGATATTTCATGAGCGATGATGAGTAAGATATAAGTTAGAATAAAAGCACAAGATTAAGTATCAGTTCAAAAGCTACCTGTTTTCTTAACGAAATGGTAGACAAGTAAAACATGAACATCATTCGATTTAATTTAATTTTTTTACGCTATAACTAGCTAGCATCGCTTCTGTCAATGTATTTAGATTGTGTAACAAAGTGCACCGCAGCTTTGTCTAACATTTATTAATTTTCAATTTATTATTCATTAACAAATGATAGCAGGAATCCACTGAAGAAAAAATCCACTTGAAAACTTGAAAATGCTAAAAATATATGTCGAGTGAATCAAAAAAGTACCTTCAATGTCAGCAATAACCGGCTGACGATAGAGATCACTCCACGGAATTTTCAAAACAAGCCTTGTAAGGTAACCGAATTTTAATTTTACTGGTAGGTCGAAATCATCTAGTGCTGTTTCTTTCACTTCCAAATTAGTTAATTTCACATCACCTGGAATATTGAGGTTAACAAAATGATAACTGAATGGTACATCGACTGACTAGCAAACACAGAATGATTATTTTCATAATAAAATGGTATACCATTATAGATCGCTCTAAAATCCTGGGGTTTTTAAGAGAAACATTTCAATGCATATCAAAATATATCAAAAACTACAACAGCAAATCACAACGATTTCAGCTTTAAATAGAAAATTGAACTCACCACCCCATATACCAATATTCAGCTGTGACGCATCAAGGTTGTTAACAAAATTACCTAACGTACGGTTTAGCACTTCGGCTACCACACTCTCAAAAACCATCACTGAAAAGTACAATTGATTTCCGGTAGAAATGACAAACAAAAACTTACGGTCGAAAGGACAAAATTCAACGAAATGTCCCAAGCTACATTCCCTTCCTTCGAAAAAATTTGTTTTTTAGACCAATAACTTGTCTTCATTTAACGAAAGGATATTAATCGACAAGTATATTATTTGGTAACGGAACGAAATACATCATAATGTTGATAGTATACTTATTAATTTACTCGGATGTAATCAACTGAAACAAGGAAGAGATTTTCTACATATATTTGAACAGTACTTGGAGCTGAATAAAGAAACCAACTACATATCTAATGTTAATTATAGGCGAAAAATTCATATGATTAAAAAAAGCAGTTTTTTCTGATGAAATTAATTGTAAAGAAATTAGAAGCAATGGAAGGAATGCATCCAAATGACACAATTGATCTAAACTAGCAAAAGTACATCAGTACTAGAATCGATGGAAATGAAATAATGATATTTGCTATTTTTTCCCCCTGCTATCTTTAATTGCAAATAAGCATAATTAAGCAAAAACCATCCGATCAACCATACGACCATGTATATGAAGACAGCGGCATTCCTGATGTGTTTCTACTTCAACGGATCCACCCAATACCGAATCAGTTACACAACCGGGAGGAACAAGAAGGACGATTGCTTTGAAAATCATGATGAAAATTGAATGAAGGGAAGGAATCCGATGATTGTTGGTGAATGTAAGACAATACCGGAAGGGCAAACATTATGGCATAAGAACAAATATGGATGAATTCAAAAAACTTTCTTCAGAACCCTCAAGAGACAATTACAGAAAGAATGGAGCCAAGTGCGTAGCCAATGCAATGCTCAGCCAACCACTTGATTACGCAAGCACGGAAAACAGTGATAAACATGCAAATGCCTAGAGAAATGAGTGTCAGAGACCGAGCCTGAGTTATTTCTGGTGACATGAAGATGGTCTCAGAAAACACTTGAGGGAATTAATTAATTAAGTCTGACAATCTCATTACTACGAAGCGGCATCGCTAAGAAAAAGTAAAAACACCAGAAGATGGAACAGATGTTCTTGGGAAGATCGGTTCACAGATATAGGGTTGTGGTCTGAAGTGAGAAATGAGAGGCAAAGGTCTCCACTCATCCCCTCATCCTTGTCCTTGTTTTTGGCTATCCTCTTCCTAAATTCACCTAATCTGACAGCAATGTAATTTGTGATAAGCGTGATAACTCTCAGCATAATATTCCCTATAATGCATCTAGATTTCTGGAGAACCATCGATTTAACAGAGAGGAATCTTTACAAATATTTATAAGTTGTGACTCCAATAACAAACTGGCTCTGGAGAATGAGTGATATGAAACAATCGATGTGCATTACTTTATGAATGATGGGGAAGGAAGGAGGACGACTATCCCATGCTATCCAGGAAGACAGTCTCCTTTACAAAAACTTTGTGGGAAGCATGCAGTGACTGAAGCATCCAGTGAAGCATGACTGCGAGTTAGAAATTAAGGCATATAGTTGACCGTCTAATTATGTATAATCTGGATGGGTAGTAATATCGAGAACTGTGCCAGACGCGAAATAGAGCCGCGTTAGGTCTCTTCGTCAATCAGACACTAATAACGTATTAATGAAGTTTGTGCCTTAACGCCATATAAAAAGAAGCGACAGTTATATTTTATACGAAACGTCACGCTAGATCCCGATGAATGATAACTTTATTCAACATACTCCTCATCTATTCAATACTGAATGAAACTGCACAAGGGTCTCTCCGGTTCTATATATGTTATACCTATCAGAAACAGTACAGCATCTCACTTCTACACCGATCTAACCCACTCAAATAGTGCATGTTTAAAGTAATGAAAAACTATACTGTTTTCAAAATGACGGATGTAAACAAATTACTGGAAAGCACTCACTACTTTCTCTACCAATTTATATATTACTGAAGGAATGTCAACAATTTTCCTGGGAATATGGTTTTATTTTTTGAAAATTCAAACGTTATCCGACTGAATGTATCCGTATTTTGAGATATTATCGTCATGCCAATAAGCGTAATTCGCAATTTGTAAGCACAGCGATGGTGAGAGTGAAACATAAGAAGTTCAACAACAACTATCATTTCCTTGAGCATCAACATGATTTATACAAGCATTCTCCAAGTCGAACTCGCTCAGTGTCTATTCACAAACGTCAATTATATCTGTGTGACATTCTCTAATTTGCAAAATATACTGCTTGAGATGCGTACATTTAAGCATCTTTATATAGCTTTGAATATTTGAGCGCGTTGGTTGAGTGTCTCAGATAGATATCAAATATACCGAACTCAAGCAACGCAGCATATTCACCAGAAATTCCGGATTCATCTCGTTTACCACCACAGGCAATTTCTTTCCTGTATCCATCCCATTCTTTTCTTACAGCAATTCGGTGAAGCTTACCAACTTACCCGTTCAACCCATTCTTATGAATGAAACTTTAAACCCCTTAAACTGAATCCCCTGCTGATCATCTAAAGGTGGTGGCTTTTCTTAATACTCTCAAAAAACTGCAATCCACTGCTCTGAATTTTTATTTTACAAATGAAAACAAAATTCGCATAGGAAGTAATGTCTGCAACTTTTCGAACTAGAAAAAACGAGTAAACCTTCTTCATCAGTATTCGTACCATCTTGGTAAATCTTTATATTTTCAATACAGAAATTATAGTGCAAAAATAGATGGAAAGAGTATATTTTCTTCCGCAGAAAACTTGAGATATCACTTAGTAAAACTAACACAGGATTTATAACAATATTATACGTGATTTCGAGTCAAGAATTTGTTGCCTATACTGTGAAAAAGGATTATTCGAGAAATCCACTGTCTGAGAGTTTGAAACATCCGCGATCACAGCATAATTACTTCTAGAAGTTGTCAATTTAAATTTATGGAGCAGTGAAATAAAATCATCCGTTTTGCCTGCAAGATGATCATCGGACTTCGAAGGACAAATGTGCGATACCTGAAATTGTCACCCTTTCTTCATCTCTGATCTTATATACTCCTATTTTTATTCTCATCATTGTTTCTATTTATCAGTGACGATGCTGAGCGATGATGTACTTTAAGGTGTCCAATCCTTTTATCGGATTTCAGTATATAGCTGATAGGTCACTCAGAATCATAGCGTTTCTGCTTAAGCTACTTATAATAATCTCGATAATTCGACGTCTATACTCTAAATTACTAAGCAACACAGCTCAGCTGATTCAATCTTGATGTGATTCTAGTGAGGAAAATCTTATATTACTTTTATAAAGTTTAGGGGAAAAATGGTCAGGGGAAAAAATGACTACTGAACAATTAGGAGTAATTATTCCGTACTTCAAGCAAGTTTTGCTTTTCTTGCGATCGGTCATCTCTCTTTCCACTTAATTTGGAAATTCCAGATTTTGCAGCAATTGCAGCAGAATCGCCAGGTAAAGCGTGTTTCATGATTGAAATTATGTCGTCTGGAGCACGTATACTTTTCTAAAGTGGAAAATGGCACCGTAAGAATAATCAAAAAAGATGCAAATGTCCTGACAAATTTGGAAGCAGAAAAGTGTGCTCCATGCAAACATAAGTGTACCTCCACTGAGAAAGTTGCTGCATCATCAGTGAGATAAGGCTTCGAGAAAGTGACGTGCTCAAACTGTGGTTTCGCAGAGCAGTCAGCTCGCAGCCGGAAAACCGATGCCACCATATTCATCATTCTTCTTCTAAGTAAAGAAATAATGTAACATCCGTAAAAATCAGTAAGAGGGATTTATGAAATGTCGAAGGATGAAATGCTGGAGAAAACCATACTTGTTTCTATCAGTTCTTCTAGGACTGTTCAATACTGGAACATGAGAAAAACTGACAATATATCCAGCTAACGCCATTGTCACCTTTACTTGTTCACCAATTGCCTGAATATATTCATCTGCCTCATCTTCCGTCCTGAGTAGAATTGCAACATTGTTGAATAAACGCGTTTTTGCTGCTCTCCAGGTGAACAGTTCACCTGATTTTGAGCATAATCTGCAAAACTATAATCGATTTCTCGAAAACAATATAAGTAATCGATGCATCACTTTTTATGGAAGCTGAATAATATGACAACTTTAAATCATTCCCGTTACCAGTCTATCAACCATTCAATCACTCTACGCCATTGGCACACTTTTTTGTCTAACAAACCTTAAATGAGTTCTTGATGATTTGCCCAACCGGCCATATTCTAAATCTCTGATTTCATCGAAACTGATATGCTTTACATCCGAGAGTTTCGTATCGTCATCATAGAAAGCAGCTATAACAGCCGTTCTGGAAAACGATGTAATAAAAGACCATATTTTGAAAAATAAACGAGTCAAAGTTTCGAAGACGAACTTCGTCAATACCAAGACGCTATCAATTTGATCAGTATTATTTGATCCTTCAACCAAGGCCCATCCGCCAACGAGTATCTCTTTTTCAGGAAGAATGAAAAGGATCGCCTCGCGGACCAATCGACCTATACTTTCAACTTCTTCTTCATCTTCTTCACCTTCAAACTTTTCGCTTTGTGATTCGTCTGCATCCAATGACTTTCCTTAAAAATAAATTTGGAAAAGGCCAATTAAATCATCAACATTATAACTCTCATATATTTTTTCATCTGTAGAGGCACTCTAGTGAAAGGATTAAGTAAAACATGAATTAAAATTACCCAGGAGAGCATCAACTGCAAGCTGTCGTTCTGCATCCCTCATGTGAGACAGATAGTACCGTGAAGCTGAATTATACCCATCCTTAACCATACCCACCAAATTTCGTTGACCGCTTCGTGTGATATCTCCTTTCAAGGCATCCGTACCAGCATACTTCAACACTAATATTCTATTAAAAGTACAAACTGAAGAGTAAAAAGAATCTAATTCCATATGTCTTGGTTGTTTTTTGATTCAATGCCTTAAATATGCAATTGATGAATGGAAAAGTGGTAAGGGTTGGAAAATATCACAAAACAATCTGATTTTCAGGAAATTTTAAAAGACAAAAAGGGAACAAAATATACCTGCCTCGAAATGGCATCACCATTATCAGCCCACATCGTCTGCAATGCTTGAATAAGTTCGAGTGGGGATTCTGTTTGAGGGCCAACAATGCCGAGCTTCTGTGCCTGGAGAAGGCACAGTGCTTGTGATATTGCACACTAAATTTGTAATTTCTTGATTATAATGATAACAAAAAGTAAGTGTGACAGCATGAGAAAGCTACTGTGAAAGAATGGGAAAGAAAAAAATAATTGCCGTGGAGTGGGTGCTTTCTTAATTCTATTTCTATATCATAAAAAATTAATTTCACGAATTCAGTTCATTAAAAATCGTTGGATTTTGATTTATAAGCACTAGTAGTGAATGAAACTAAGTGTGATAATTCACCTGTACAACATTGGTCCTATCCAGACAATCTACACAATTTGTTCGGATAACACCTTGTTGCTGGCGTACTATTTCGCCACATTTATCAACCCAGCAAAAACCTATGGAAGAAATTTGCTCAGTAAGTGCCGAGACCAACTCCGTAACCTGAACACAACAACTGAATTTCATTTATAATAAAAGATTGAAAGTACATCCATAAATTTTGAAACAAACCAAACACAAATTATTTATGGACTTATAGTCAGATATTGTATTCAAAAGGCATCAAGGAAGGAAAACAGGAAAACAGGAAAACACGACTCACCTTGTGAAAGCGAAGTCCTCGACAACGAAAATGAAAATCGTATGTGAAATAGGCAATATCTGGTGAATTCATATAAAGGATATGTTGCAGAAAGCTCACTGCAAGCTGCATTTCTCTACAATAAATTGATTGCAAACTTGGCATTTTCCCAAATCAACAATACAACGTCCACTAGGGTGATTTTTTATTATGAAACTATACATAAAGGTAAATGTACAATAACGTGCCTTCCTCTTTGTTCCACTAAATTAACAATAGTTAAAGGTGTGCCATATGTTTTTGTCATTTTTGTAACATGCTTATTGAACGCAGGGTAAGAATCATTGAACGTTTTGCTTATCACAAGTGGTGGACGATAACGATATCCTTGTTGAGTCCAGAATACTGGAACAGATCCTCGTATCTGAACATATTTAATTTTAATCCGAATGTTGTATACTGCAGTTTATTAAAGTTATACTAAATATATTGATATCACTATCACCGTTTTTATCGGTTAAAGCATTTTTCTAACAAATTTGACATTTCTAAAACTGTGTGCTTGAAACAAAATACTAACTTGGACAAAAGAGAGACAATGGCCGAAAACTGTTAGCACTACTTCAGTTTCCACAAAATTGGCAACATCACCATCTTCATCGACACCTCGTTTCAGATACCGGACACCAGCACAATTTATAGAACGTCTTGATATCAGTGTTACTATCAACTTCGTCTCAGCCTCAATTGATATCCTTCTGGTACAAAAATTTGCATGATTTAAATGGATAAAACTGGATATAACAAAACTCCTTTTAATTTAGTTTGGGACAGTGACAAGGAGATAAAATATTGTTCATAAAATATTGTTTGAAATATCGTTCATAAAACAATGTCTAAAATATTGTTCTGTGAAATACTGTTCATACTCTAAAGAGAAGTTTTTCATGATTCCCAACAGACAGTACAAAAACAGCGTCTATCCTACCAAGAAGTAAAATGATGAGACGAAGTTTGTTAATTTTTTAAAAACTTCAAGTCAATTTTTTTTTTGAACCACCAAAATTAAAAATCAACCTTTCAGCGACGAAGCCTTGACATACTGGAATGATCCATTCTTCAGTTCCTGGATGGGGAAAGCCATCATCGTCAAAGAGATCAGAAAGCAATGCATAGTTCCAAAAGAACCATTTATTTGTACGTCTTGTGGAAAAATTACTAAAACTGATATTATTCATTTAATGCAGTTCAACAAAATCGTTTTTAGAAATCGAATATATGAATTATATCTACCTTAAATTGTATCTATCTTTTTTCACCACCATTTCAACAAATTTGTTGGAAATTTACAACAAATTAAAATATACAACATCGTTATCTAGCTGCCAACAACAATGAGCTTAATTCATCAAAAATATTGAAGCAAGAGACAAATCTGAAAAGAACAACTTTGATACCTTTGGGTGTTTAATGTTATATCTCTTTTGAAACAAATATAGAAGTCGCCACCATTAAAAAGTCGTAGAATTTCATCGATCAGTCGAACCGAATTTCCTTTCCCCGTAACAAAATGTATTACCTTCTTCTGCGACATTTTAATCTTTTCCAATTTTGACGGAGACATAATCGGCTGCAAAGAACTTACATCGACTAAATTCTAATAATCTGAGAAGTTGACTAAATCCTCAGCAAAAATTAATGAAAACTTCAACGATAATTCCCTAGATACTGATAAGCAGCACTTCACCTTAGGAGGCAGACCATCTTTTCCCACTGGTATGGCAATGACTCTGTCAATATGACTGATTGTATCCTGAAACATCATCAATATTCACGTCAGACTTTACGAAAAAAACAAAGCCAAATAATAACGAAGTTCTAGAACATTTAACATCTTTGATTTCCGGAAGCAAGAAAAAGGGAACGAACTAAAAAATGCATGAAAATGCCTGTCTTCGGGATGCATTTTAAACAGGCAAATTCTTGGTTTTCAAATCCTATAGTCACAAACTAACATTCGTGCAAGGATAAGTAGCTACTGGCGTACATTCAACAGCAACCAACAGATAACACTCATTTTCTACCAAAATTTTTCCGATGAAAGCAACGAACTCGCCCAATTCGATAGCATTAACAGATTCTGCAAGAAATGAAAACTCATGTAGTTTGTAGTCAATAAACTTTAAAAGGTTAGCATAAAATAAGTTCAAAAAATAAATTTGCAAAGAACTTCTACATTCAAAGAAATGATAAGAACATCTGAAATTTATGAATCCTGGTGGACTGTAAGAGAGGAAACACTCATGATAGATAAAAACCACGACTCTCTGGTCCACTAAATAATTCTACCTCAACTCGCAGAGTGACTAAAAAAGACGGGCAAACGATCTTATAAGCCTCTAGACATCAAAATCGGCATTTCACGTTGTATTAACAACTAAATAACATGTAAACATAGTACATAAAATCCCGGAAGACAAAATAAAGGAACGGTATTTAAGCTTGGAAAATCTGAACTCAGAAATAATGAATAACGAGTGGATGGGTTTAAATGATAAGTTTAAAGAAAAAATTGGGTGTGTGGAATACCACATCTCTTGAATATAATCACAGAAAATGCTCTGCAACAGACGGAGATAGGCTAAGTGGGTGAATGGTCCAAGTACAACTTTTTTTCTTTGGGTTACATTAGTAATACCTTCGACGGAACAAGTGGCCAGTTTCATTGTTGATTTGCAACATTTCAAGACGCAGCTTCCTTTTGCCAAGTAAAGATTGTTATTCGTGCCTAATAATATCATTTTGATCTACGAATTAGTACCGAGGAATCAATTAAGTGATCATTTCTGAAATAAACTTCAAGAAATTATTTCGTGAAACAATTCGCAACTTTTGGAGTCATTGGTGGTCGAGAAAGTAGACAAGGATATTTGAAGTAGGACCTAGCCTAGTAGATTAAGAAAATAGAATTGGACAACGGTCGGAAGAGAGAGATAGGATACTACGTCTTATTTCTCAATGCACTTGTAAATTTCCAATTTGTAACCTTCGTATCCATCATGAAAATTAAGTGAATGTTAAAAGTATTCAGATTCTTCCATTTTTCCCAGTGAAGTACGCAAAGCGGAGTGCTCTGGGACAGGGTGTAAGTATTATCGCAATGGGCGGTGATGATGGAAAGTAAAAGGGAGGAAGTGTTTGATTCCCAACAAATATTTGAATCAATGCTACAGATAGATCAGCATTGTTCTGAACCTCAACAGTTTCCAGTTTCAACTGACTCTCCTCATAAACGTAAAAAGTAAAAGCACACGTTCTCCAACCCTAATGCCTTTGAAGTTTGTCAAACGGGTAATCGAATTGCTTTGTCGCAATTCGACGCAAACCACATCCAGTTATCAGGTTTGGCATTTATTCTCGACCAGTATGTTTGCGGTCATCATCTCAACTCTCTCTCTGCAAATCTCATTCATAGAATACCTAACCACTTATTGTTTTCCGTCCACTACATGTTGTTCTAGGTGCTCCGGTATCGGAAAAAAAAACTAAGTGCTAGTGTAGAACATACACTAATTTTTTATTATTTTCTCTCAACCATTTGAAGGAAATAGAAAAGGAAACAAAATTTTCATCTTTTTTTCTTCTTCCCAATCGGAGTTTGCAGTTCAGTTGTTACGGCAGTCGGTAGACAAATTTGCTAAAAAATTGCGAACAATCATTTAAAAGAAAAAAAACGCAAATCAGCGATAAAAAGAATGTTGCTGACATTTCCTTGACAGTGGTGCTGAATAATGATTTGACAGACTCTTGCCGTGTTCCTTGTGTAAATCACAACGGACTGGAGAAAATGTATTGATATAAAAGCCGCAATACACTGTAAGGGTATACTTTTATAGAATTTACCGGTTATTATGAACTTCCTCTAGTAGTTTCAGGCGGTACTTGCTAATGCTTGGAGACCACAGATTTGATTTATAAATTTGTTCACATATTTACATTACAGTGTGGTATGATACGTTTTGGTAACAAAGGCTTTTCGTGTAACAGCCGAAAGAGTCGATAATTTACAAGGAGACGTTAATAAAATGGATGAGAAGTACGAACTTTATTTGAAATGCTGACACTAGTGAATATGTGGGCTGCCAAATCGCAGAGCTCTTTTGTGGTGGGTATGTTTATCAATCCTACAGCTCCTACCATTGGCATATTGAGTGCTTTTGAAAGAGAAGCATTTAGACCGGAGATCGCGTATACCTTCGTATTCTGTAAGCTGAAAATTGCAAAACAAATGCGCAACAAAAATGGATGTATCCAAATAGCGTTTTCGGAAATTTTGAGCTATTGTGAGGGCTTCATTATCAAATTTAATTGAGATACCCATGAACAGGCAGAAGACTAAGCAACACTTTCAAAAATCTAATATTTGCAAAATATTAGAAGTCATGGACCAAGAAATATATTATCATAGAAATATCATAATACACTAATACGATGATGACGCAATATAGCTCATGGCTTGTTAACAAGAATCTCGTCTTTATGATGCTTTACTCATAGAAGGGAAAATATTTACGCTAAAAAGCTGTAAATCTTGAGTACATCTCAGCTGTTCACCAGAAGTTGGGAACAAGCAGAAAAACAAAAACCAGCAGAAAAACCTGAAAGAGTAGAGGGTAATTGAACTAAAAGACACAATTCTCGTACCTCGTAGCGTATAGCCCCAAAGTAGTTGTAACCGATGAAGGCTTGATTGTGACTGTATCAAAGAATACTGCTGACAGCACATTCCTCTGCATACTACGTAATACCGAGCGCATTCCAATCAAAGCGAATGAAGACTGTAGTTTGATATCATGATTTATACATATCATTAAGTCCCAAAACTTATTCATAAAATCAGAAAATGAAGTTGGGAAAATGAAACTCCTATGAAATAATTTCCCAAATAATAAATATATAAAACAAGTCACATGTTAGAAAAGCGCAAATCTGTGGATGTGATCTGCTTATCCAATCCTTCAAAATAGTGCGTTGCACTTTTCCATTCATGTCGTCCTCAATTCTATATATTTTATTATGACCGTAAAATTAGTCACTAAAGCGAAATGTTATTTGAAAACGTTTAAAATAACCTTTCGAGCAGTTGGTGAATACGCTTTATCCACATTGCTGTCCTTTTTTGGAACACCCTTGTCTTTGAAATACCCTCTTCTTTCCAGATCACAACTACCAAATTTTGTAACACTTCGTTCCTCATGATTTCGCTTGGTAATCTTTCCAGGCCGTTTGAAACCTTTTTCTACAAGAAATTCAGCCAGGACACCCAGAAATTGATTTGATATATCATGCGATTTAATGTGCCAATCGAACTTCAGTCTGCATTTCAAATATGGCCTACTACTCCGACACTTTTTCATATTTTGCTAAAAATTAGAAAAAAGTAGCAAACATGGCATTCAATATGTTACAATTCCTTAAACGTCTTGGGGTTTTTGAATTCATCTTACAGGATTGATTGAAACTTACAGAATAAAGCAGAACTTAATCCGTGAGAATGTGAACAATGCACTTTTAAAAAATTTAGGAAACGATACAGAGTTGAAGGAATTACAGAGAAGGAATAGGAGGAAATCGAAGAGAAAGGTAATATTCAGCTAAAACCAGTCTCAAAGTACCTCTCTATTAAACATCAACTAAAACTTTAATTAAAAAAAAAAACTTAGTTCAACATCAAACAAGCAGATAACAAATGTATACTAATCAACAAATAAGAAACTATTTATCTAGCACATTGAAATCTAGATCCCGAAAAGTAATGAGTTTTTTCTGGATAAACACAAGAACAGCATTACAATACATAAATAATGTATCATGAAATCAGCACTTACATAACGAATCGTCAGCGAGTCTTGCAAATCTCTTGCCAAATTAGTAATTAAATCTAAACGGCTAGTCAACTAACTTTAGGTGCCTCCCTATTGTTCCAAATAAGGAGGCGACTAAAAGTTAATTTGGACATTTATCGCTTGTACGCATCAAACATGCAAATAACTGCTCAAAGCAATGATAAATGCTTATTTAATCAAATATCTCCATAAATGATTTCCGAAAGCAATTAACCTAGTTGCGATAAATGACAGGAAAATCCAGCATTAAGTATCGTGAAATTTGAATGTTTCGAAACGGAATTTCAAGGACTTGCAAGACAATGTAAACATATAGGTCATAAATTCGTTCAAACCCATTCACATCGACAACCCTTATTTTAAGAGATTTATATCTTGGGAGAAGGAAGCAAGGTAAGAAAAGGAAAATATTTTTGTTGCAGCTTAGTTATGCAACAGTTGTTAGCCTTCCTGCTTGATTACACATTAACTTCCTAAGCCAAAAATTGAGTTTCTGAGTCAGTAACTATGTTATATATTCTAAGTTTTTGAAGATGATAGTTTGCATATCAACTGTCTGACGTATCGCCCAGATCCATAACTGATTCCCGTAAAGCAATCAATAATTCTAGCGCTTGTTCAACATTCCCACCAGTTTCCTCAAGAATCCGCCTATTTTCTTCGGTGTTTGTGAAGCCAAAATCAGCCAGTTGCGCCATTTGTGAAGTGTACTGTGTAGAGCCAGATGCTGAAAGTGTACCAGGAAAATGATGCGAATTTCGAGACGATGACGTAGAGGATGATGAAAGTCCTTGACTGATTCTACTTCCTCCTACATTTCTCATTGCTTGCGCAACTGCCTGAAAATAAATTTTTACTATTGGAATTTTGAAAGCTCTTCACTTCAAACATTAGCATGTTATTATCAAGTGTAATATACGTTCTCCATATATATTTCCGAATTCACATTCCTGCGGTTAGCCACAGATTAAGCTGTAGTAATTGACAAACATAAATTACTTAAAGGTGCTGAACTCATAAGTTATATGAAATAAACTATTTAGAAGACAGCATCACGAAGTAGAGTGACAGGTTCTTACCAAATTAAACTTTCGCCGGTAAATAGTGTGAACATGTCGTTGTTGATTTCTCGATAGACAAATTAGGGTTGGAAGTTTTTTTCTTTTTTAAAAAAAAAAAACAAATAATAACAACTGCGTTTTTAATTGTAAACCAAACCTCTTGCAACATTTGTGGAGTTACGATGGGTGCATAACCACTATGTCCAGAAGCTGGTGTTGGATTGTCTGATAACGAAGCGCTTGAGCCAGAATGGGACATCCTGGGTGGTACATTAATGCCACGCAACCAATGATGTATTACATCTACTAATATCTGAAGATAACTCTCCCATCAGAAGGAAAATTTTGACTTACTCAATTTTAAAGGGGAAAAAAAACCCCTGGTACATAAAAAACATAGGTAATCATATAGACTACATGATAAAATTATCATTAAAGAGCTTGTTACACCCATATGCTCCCAATGTTTTACAATTGATTGATGAAATAAGAGAACACCGGATGATCGTGAAGAAAGATTTCCTCCATGTTCTGCTTTCCCATAATCATGGCACCTGAGAGAATGAAATCTTTGGCCACTATTAGTGCCATTCGATCCTTCTTCAAAAGCGGAAATTCTTTTAGCAGAGCTCCCATGAAATCGTCTCTGTTCATCTCGTCAATTATCTATAAATCGAGACCTTTGTTTTTCTAACAGTTTAATATTATTAATTTTGACAGGTGGTTTTTTTTTGAATTTGCTTCTCAAACGAAATAAGAATGTATACTTTTTCATGCTTTCTTTTTACAAAGACAAAATCACGAGAGTATCAGGAATGGAAAAGCTACCTATGAAAGTTCATTAAAAAAACTGCTTTCAACTGATACCGTGAAGCAAATCGAGAGATAAACGGGTTTATTTCAAACGTAACAACAAACATACCTTTTCGCGATTGCGTTTAGAAGCTCTTAGGAACTGAAATTTCTCTCGACATTCCTGCAATTTTTTGTTATCCAGCTGTAACTTTGGCATGGGATCTGAAGTGGAACGGACCATAATATGTAGTGTGTACTTATCTTCCATGTTCTTTACATCGCTTAGTCTAATGTCTTCTGCCAACACTTCTCCAAGAAATACCAAACCTATAAAAAATTTGTTGTCTAATTACTTCTTCATCTGAAACGAGCAATAAGAGTTGTCCTGGAATCAAAATTTGTACCCTTATTGGACATACTTCTCGCAAAAAAAACATACAGCATTTTAAGCGCTTTACTGGATCATTCACGAATTCATCCAATATTTCCTTCACATACTTCTCCAAACAAAACGAACGCGGTGTACAGACAGCTCCAGATTCAGCAAGCCAAACCTTCACCATTGTGAAACGAAATATTCCCAAACCTGAATTAATACATTTTAACACGCATAACATCGACCATTTATTACGCGGATGGATAACTTTTAAGATATCAAAAGATTAAAAAAAATCTTTGCACAAACACAAGAATACCAAGCAGTGTAATGCATTGAAACACATTATGCCAAATATGAGTGAAACATAAAATTCTCCATCCTTTCACTGACCCTTAAATAATAATTGCAGCACAAAAAATGAACATCGAAAAAAAGTAAATTCGAACATATCGTAAAGAATTTATCAAGACTGAAGGAACATAACATTATACATCGTACAAATCATTGAATGATTTCTAAAATTTTCTGATTTAGAGGATTTTCGGGAGATTTTTGCCATTGCTTCTTTAAGACTTGCTTCAGCTGTGAAAGGCGATATGTGGGATATTCTTCTCTCAAGCGTGGTAACATTTTTTCTTCGAATTCCTGGAAGGAAAAGTGAGAATGTAGTAAATGAAACGCGGAAACAAATCACCACTATTAATCAGACTTTTAAAATTAGGAAATATATAACTGGGACAAGATAAATCGAATAGCTAAACTAAAACTATGAGTCAGTAAATAGACTATTTTGAATCCTCTCTCCCTGAAAATACGGAAATTACTTGTTAATTTCAAACGTCTACTGTTCAAACTAAAAGAGCTTTCTCGTTAATTCAACGATCGCCGTCCAATAAAGATATGATTTGTTTTTATTTAAAGTGGATCTGTAACGGAGTAACCTGATAGGCGGCTTTCACTCTTTTTTCGGGGTGCCGATCGATAGTTGACTTGCCTATGGACAATATATTAATTGCTTCTGTAACGGTACGGGCAGTTTCACCTTCTACCTAGAACAACATAAATCATGATTGAATTCATTAAACAGTGGAAATATCGGAAGAGTTTTCTGAAGCAGTTACGTCACGTGTAAAAAAAAAAATTTCTGCTGTAACACCCATCGATTGAAATCAAACACAAACAAGCTATAAATGAATGTTCCACTATTTGTGGGAAACGAATAAAAAGTTGGTTTACATAAAGAAGGTAAAAAAAAGGTCTGCCGAGAAACGACTCCATTAGAATCAACAAACGATCAGAACTTTAAAAAATACCTTTAGCTGGTTAACATTTTCTTCAATTCCCTCTTCTTCGGTTCCTAAACGCTGTTCTTTCAGCAACCGTTCTTTTTCTTCTTCGCGTTTTCGTTCCTCTTCAGCACGCTTATTAGCTTCAATTGTTGCTTGTGTGATCTAAACTTATGGCTGTTCTATTAAGAAAAAAAAATTCTGCTAAGTCCTTCAAGTTAACCTACTTCACTAGTCAGCACTCTAAAACGCTTCTGATTTGAAATGGCTAGCATGCAAGATTGTTTTAATGCTTCAAGAAATGTGTTCCAAAGGCCTTCATATTCATACTTCATACTTCCTAACAACAGCACCTGAGCACTATGAAGAGACATGGGGTAAGAATTTTATGGCAATTTAAGAATAGTGAGTAACAATAAATAATTAATGCACTGTAGGTTTCTGATTTTTCCGGAGTTTCAAAAGATCAATTTCGTCTGGATAAAGAGAACCTTGGATGATCCCACTGCTTTTCCCGACAACGCTTTCATTTCCTCATCATGTGCTATCCGACTTTCATGCTTCCTCTGTAAGGCTTCCATACGTTTGCGTTCTGCTTCTTCCTGAAGTCCAAAAAATTCCAAATTTATTTTAAACAAAAATAATTGATTGAATATAATTATGTTAGTTTCCCAAACCAACGTTCTCTGTAATAGTTTGTGCGATTATTCATCTATGATGACTGATGCTTCTGCGAAATTCTGAAAGAGAAACTGCTAAAAAAACCAACTTCCCAGGCACAACAATTATCAAACAATCTACCTACCTTTCGCTGTTTACGGGTAACGTTCTTATTATCATCCTGCCAATATGCATCTTCTTCAGCTTTCTTTTTCTTCTCTGCTTCCTCTCTCTTCGCAGCTTCCTTGCGAGCCCTTGCTGCCACTGCTTTTGTATTTCCACCAGAGAATTTCTTCGGCATTTTCAGAGATAACAACAGGTATCATATATGTGATGCAATCCTCTAATATTTATACAGTATCGATGTGAGGATAACATATTGCAGTTAAAGTTGAAACTTGAATCAGTCACTATCTATTATTGGTGATAACATTGAAAAATCAATAAGCGTATCAATGGGTTTTTATCACGTAGCATTCTTTACGTATTGTCCTTGTACCATCCCTTCGATTGTTTGTATGGCAGTAGTCCTGTAAGTATATCTTCCCTGAAATGATACTACTCCACAACTTCTGCTATTAGCAGTAGCCTCTGCTTCTGTTATTTCCCTACATTTACTAACATTTTATTTCTGTACTCAAGTAAGTGGTTCGTCTGGAGGTCAAGGAGCACATTCAACGCAATGTAATTACTCTTCTTCAGCTCTTCATCTCTCAGTTGTAAATCCACGATTATTCCCCCGAGAATCTCGCGTAAAAATCCAAGAAAGAACTAATACTCCATAAACCTTCTAAGATTAAACTACACAAATAAGAAATCAATCTGACTAATGATTATAAAACGACTTGAAACCGGAAAACCAATCGCTCCAATAACTCTCAGTCTTCATACTACTATTAACACTCACAATAAAGATTTCTCATCCCAGCAAATTCTTCAACCTCCCTATGCAGCATCTCAGCTACCGAAACGTGAGGACACACGACGTATTGCCAAGAGCAATACGGTGTAAGAGAGTAAGCAGATGCGTTCGGTTGGAATGATTGAATTATTATTTACGTTCAGTCAAGTGTAGCTGCTGGCGTAATTCATGATGGAAAACTGTTGATACTGTCTAAAGTAAAGATAAGAAGAATCATAATTTTAAATAATTTCAAATAACGACAAATAAAGAACCAAAAGAGCAAACAAAACACAGTGAACGTGACACTCACAACCACAAACATCTACCAAAGCACCAAGTAGCATTGTGCTACTTCATGTTATCATGACATAGGTGTGGTAAAACTTATGAAATTCCAAAATATTATCAACGTGCGACTCTTTCTGGACATATTTTGACTGACAGAAAGTGGAAGATGATTCCCTCTCTCGAGGCCATGTACCAAACGACAGACACATCATCTATTGTTGTATATAGGACGTTTTGAAAATCTGTAGAATTCTGCTTTCCATAAATGTTACCGATTTTACAAATGCATCTTTTGTTTTTGAAAATAACTGATCTAGGATTCAGCAAGGAACAGAAAGTGTAAAGGGAACTATCGCAAAATATAGTTGATAATGTAAATTTGCATACGGGGAGCAATCAATTACGAAGTAAAAAATGTACAAAATTGAACACTACGGTGGTATATTGTCAAATGCGGGATCGTTGCGAGGAAGTGCCTGACGAATTTAGTGACAATTTTGACGTAGGTTCTTGTTTTTTTCTCTTCACCATTTTCCCTAGCATTGGCCTAATTTTGTTAAGAACTTTTTGTCCAATTGTTTAATCTCGTTTTAATCATACGGTCTTGCTGCTGCTGAGTGTACTCATTTCAAGATGTATGACTGAATGAAATGCGAGAATGTTTGTAATGATAATGACAACCACGACTGCTGCAATGGCGTTATCATTCATATCATCAAATCACAAATAATAACTACGAGAAGTATTTATCCTTGAATAATATGGAAGTTACAAATTTAACAGTTTTAATTTCGACCTAGTAATAGTAACAAATCCAGTTTTGGCTTTCCCTATCACTCCCATTATATGGTAATTGTTGAATGGCTTTAAAAAATAAAAGTAGGCAAAGAAGCTAATCTACTCTTTTGATATTTGTTTTTATTTCATTATGATTAGGATGAGATATAGCTGAACATGATAGCTAGACTGTTGTTCTGGGATAGATAAATATGGTTGTGATCGATGGCCAGTTCTGTGTGGCTGCAAAAATTCGTCCCGCTATTGAGATTTCTTAAATCAACCAAAAAAAAATGGGTTTTTTTGAAATGGATTATTGGATTATTCTATGGATTATTTTATGTGATTTTAAGTTATATGCCTTAGATTTCATATTTTTAATGCTTGCTTTCTCATAGTAACGGTAGGACATTTTAGAACAGCAAGCATTCGAAAATTTTTCTTTTTCGTATTTTAACATTTGCAACTAGTGTTCCATCCATTCCTTTCACGATTTCACATATTCAACTTATACGTCTTTTTATGTAAATTATTCTGAATCCACGCATTAACTTCCCTTCTTCCTAAGTAATTGTAATCACTGGCTGAAAACATCACCGTCTTCTCATCAATTCAAAATTCTCTTTCCTAGCCACAACATATTCAGGGTCTTGTAAAATACGTGACAGCTCTCTATTTGGTTCTTCTCCTTGCTCTTTGCTTTTTTCTTGAATTAATTTTGGAAACTTTTTTACTGCGAAATAACAAATGTTTGAAAATACAATACATGTGCATTATGCTTTATTTTCAGTGACTAATTTGTAATGTCGCACTTAGCAATGAAAGAGTTGAGCTTTTCTAACACCTCGAAGAAGTAACGATGAGATTATCGAAGTAAAGTTATGAAGCTAGTGAGGAAAATAGACTTGAAACATTGAATAAGATTCGGAGTAATTCATCGCGAACATCTGTGGAGCAAAGCTGGTCTCATGTGTGCCTTAAAGCCAGGAAATGTCGGAAAACCGAGAAAATTCGTAATATGTATTGCAAAATCATTTGGCCTTCAGCTAAAAAGTCATTAAATGTAATCATAATTTAATATTTCTTCGTCTTCTACCAAGCAATTAAATGTAAATATTGTGATTTTTGTATTTTTTGGTTCTACGGCAAACAGTTGAAACAATGTAAATATCATATCAGATTTCTTAATGTTATTATTGGCTTTATACCAATAGTTAAAATAATATAAACGTCCTCATGTTCTTGGAGTTTTTTTTTACCCACTATATAAGTCTCATCCCCTCCCTTTTTATGAGTTTTCTAAAATATTACCGACGAAATATTATCGACAATCATCCTGCTTATATACGCATCCCCAGAGCGATCCGTTCTCCGATGCGAACGAGTTCTCCGTTGTGAACGGGTTCTCCAATGCGAACGGGTTCTCCGATGCAAACGGATAGGTCTGGGGATGCGTATAAGAAGGATGGTTGTCGGTCATCGATCGTCGGTAATATTTTATAAAATTCATAATTTTCGCAATTTAATTTCTGCGGAGGGTTGAATGGAATTCCAGTGGTCCACTTGCAAGTTTCATTCGTGTAACTTGCACTAATAATGGAAAAGTAGTAGTTAGTAGC